AACAAAGTACATGAATTTTCAATAAGGAGTACTTACAATAAAAATGCGCAATTATCTCAGACAAAAATGAATTTGTACTATCGCTTGTATAATTATAATTTTCTTTACTATGTAAATACTAAATAACTCAAGTCATAAAATTGCCTTTAGGCTACTATGCCTCTAGCATCCTTATGTATGTTGCTTCAAACCATAGACGTAGGTACGATTGAATTTGTAGCTTGCTGTTTCTTTTTTAATTTCATAGTCTTGAGCTTAATTTCCAACATCGCTGAATTAACTTAAGAATAATTCTGAAACGCTTAAAGAAAAGATATTTTTTACCGCAGTAAGCGTTCGAGTACAAGCAATTCGAGCTCAATATTAAATTCAACAAGTGCCCGAAATGAAACTGAATAAAGTATCTGTTATATCCGCTAAGTGCCTACTTTGGTCTTGAAGGAGAAATATGCAATTTGTCGAGCCACGTAATTACAGAGCGGAATTCCTTCCTTAATTCTTAAATAAGGCGAACGATGTCACGCAAAATAAGGCTTAATTTGACTGAAGTAATGAATATTACTGCAAGGACTTGCTCCATTTACCTAAGAATAAGTGAAGTGGACTTGTCCTAATTAATTTGAGTTTTTTTTTGTTTAGATACATTAAATGAACACTAATATATAAGAATTTTCTATACAATGTCAACGCCTCTAAAGCCAATCAGACCAGTATAGGAATGTAGGTACCTGATTGCTTGCTTTGCTATAATATAACTGCTGAACCTGCATTGTTGCACAGAATTATTCACTTTTAATACCTATTATATTTGCTTTAATACCGGGCACATACTATTTATTTATACCACTATGATGATGCAACAACGGAACAGATGATGCAATAGCTATATTCGTATCCATGGTTTCACACAGACTGCAGAGGCGCTGGCGCATTGCGCGGGGGTTGAGTTGTCTATGTGTGTGTGCCATCGTGGGTTCTAAGCCTAACTATAAAAGCTAATATCAAAAAGGTTTATTTTCTAATGAACTAAAGAACTTACTACAAACCACAGTATACTTAGTATACCACAGCCGAAGGTCGAAAGTTTATATTATTTCGATTCATAGCAGCTACAAGCCGCCGTAGCACATAAAATATGTTAAATAAGTAGTGGTTTAAACGTTTTCATTGTTTGAAATCTATGAAAATAACGTCGTTGGCCCATTATTATTATATCTTATAGAAATTGTAACTAAATCGAAAAAAAATGAGGTCCAATTTGAAAATCGTATGCTCTGGTTATTTTGTTATAATCAATCAAATCAATTGTTCTAATGCTAAAATTATCGATTAGCATTAAGAAATATAAATTAAATTGAATATTTAAGGCATCTTAAATGTGCGTCCACAGTATGGCCTGTGGCGGACGCGACAAGCCAGTTAATTGATGACCAAAGACGTGACGGACCGACATACAACAAACTATTCCCGCATATTTAGTCGCTTGTACTGCACCGTTTTTACCAGGCGAACAATCTACAAAGAACAGGGACCACATAAAACCACTTCTTGCCACACTCATGGTAACCCAACCCATGCCATATCTGATAGGCTGGTAGTGTTACTCCGACCCATGGAATGTACGACTAATCGTCACCGGAATCTGTTTACTAGAACCTGTGTAACCATAGGGTTCTAATTCGCCTTACTTGTCGCACAAAGACTCGAACGACGAAGCGAAGGGCGATCCATTCGCGCGACTTCGGGTTTATACTTACTTCTGCTGTTGTGCAGCATGTCGGCAGCAGACGAAAAGTAGGTATCTTTGATACTTCGTACCCGCTATCGCATCCGCGCAGAGCTTGCACTGTGAAGAGTAAGACCTAAGTGGGGTTTGGAGCATTAATTGAGGGCCGTACACCCCCGAAGCGACGATCTTTATTAAGTAGCACAATTCATTTAGAGGAGAATGGAGATAGATTAATGACTCAGTTTATTATAAACAATATTGTTCTTGTAAATGAGTTCGCTTAAGTCGTTAGTACGCGCAGTTGTTTACCTCTGTTTAGCTGGTAAGATGTATCTCAATTATTTTTGCATTATAACAATTAAATACTGTCTATAGTTTACGCAAGTAGTACACATTTAAATAATACACTTTAACGGTTTGAAACGTGACCACGGCTGCTGCAAGACATCCGAAACTTCGGGCGGAAGTTGAAAATCATTTTAAAATCAGTCTAACTTATATTTCGCGTTTTAAACCGTTAAATTGTTTTTTTTTTATAACAATTAATTAATTTGTGAAAATTTGTGTTTTTATTGTCTGCTTCTGATTTTACATTTAAAACCATTTTTGTTGTTAAAATAACATGTGAAAACAGGAAAGGTTTTGGAAATATTATTAAAAAAGACAGCAATTTTACATTTTAATATAATTTGTAAAATTGCTGTCTTTTAGAATAACTTAACGAAATATGACCCCAAATTACACTGAACAATAACTTCAAGACTAAATCTAATAATAAGTACGTACACAGACTCACTTTTCTATAAAAAGCAGTCTTCACTTATTAAATGAATTATTAAAAGGACACAGCAGAACTGGAACACACAACCGATAACTTATCAATCTGTGTGTAATCTACATAAGGAATATATTTTTAAATTATGTAAATTTTATGTTGAAAAGAGGTATATTAGATCCTAAACCTGGACGATTCTTATACTTATTTAAATATCAAATATCTTGCAAATCCCGTGAATATTAACGATTACTTTTAAAGGCAATAATTAAACTTGAAGCCTAAGTATCGTCAAATGCACATTTATCACATAATGTCGAAACGAAATTGTGAAAAAGGCGAACAGCTTTCCAATCTGATTAAGATTTATTATTCGGCTCTGGAGCCATCGACGCTGACGGTTCGATAGACCGAAGAAAAACAAACTTGTTTTCACGACCGATGCTCCGTGATATTCCGCATTTTGTTTAAACCGTTCATTTTGTTGGAAAAATCCCATTATTTACTTTAGCAAATGTACGAATGTTTATTTTGCTTTATATTCTGACGGTACTTCGTTATTCTACTTATTACTTTGTTATTCATATTTGTATTGGTTAATTGTATCTTTGCTCCTACGTACATTCCCTCTACTTACTAATAATTCCATATATTAATTCAAATTACTCTTTTAACATGTCTCACATTTTAGTTTTCGTGAAACGAATGCTTAGTATGTAGTTTAGAAGAATTGGTCTCATCTGTAACACGCTAACAATTATTAAATTTTAAATAGCATATACATTACATTATGGACAGTGCAATTCAAAGTTAAGTTAGTTTTTTATAGTAATGTCTAATTTCTTTACTGAAGGCAAGAATGTTCACCAGGGTAAAAATATATAATAGGAACAATGTAAATACGCGCTGTAACATTTAAAACGACATAATTATACAATTCTGGTATGTTGAAAAAATCTCATTTCGTTGAAATAATGAAAGGGCGAATACCCAGTATTTTGTCTCGTTAACGCTCGCGTTTTCATAACATTACGTAATTTATTCACGTAGTGTACAGACGTATATATATGTCGCGTTTAATTGTACGTTTCATTTAACAACTATATATATGTTACAATAAGATCACAGTTCGTTGTAAATTTAACTATTTTAATTATTTATTCATAAGAAAATGGAGGTAAAATTTTCCTTATAGGTATGAATACGGAGTCAATCCGTACTGAAAATTTATTTTCTTCAAAATGTATGGTTCTAAACGTTACTAGCTGCGGCCGCAACTTCGACCGCGTGGTAAATAAATTTTAAGTTATGTAGCACTAGCTTTTACAAAGTGGCTTCGCCCGTGCCCGCTGGGATGGACCCTGAAAATTGCGGAATGCTCCATACAAACTTCTACCCTCTATTTTCGGGAAGTTGGGGGGTTAGAAGAAACATCAATTAGCCTATAAATATATCTTAAATTTTTTTATATTTTGCGATTAAAGACGGACAAACAAACAGACAGAATACATTCCACATTGATAATATTAGCATGAATATTTATTCCCTCTCGTAAAGTAGAGCAAAGCGAAAAATCCTATTATACATTCCACGTGTTTAATTACTATAATATATCTTGCTTATGTGGCATATTATATTTTAAAAGATAGGAAAAGGTTTCGCGTAATTTATCTTGAATATCTTACGATCTCTATAATTAAGGTAAGGTTTGTTATTGATCTTATCTCGTAATATATGCGTGTTTATGCGACTCATTTCTTATCTGCGAAGATTTACTTTTGCTAGGTGTATATGCTACTTGTGACAGCGTAGAATTGTTATTTTGGGCGTCAAAATTTGTTTTTGCAAACCTTCCTCCTATAAACTATAGCTAACAAGTTAATCTTGAAGGTAGACTAGATAGATATACTGTCGCAGTCGCCGTGTACACTTTTTGAGATCATATAAAAAGAAATTACTGTTATAAACATATTTTTTGGTATCACGAACCGTTTTCGCAGCGAAGACAACCCTAATTGAAAAATTTTCCCCGTTTGTTCTACATTTACCACTATTCCTCTGCTGCTATTGATCGCAGCGATGTTTTATAGCCTAAGCCTTTCCGATATATACTCTAACACAAAGGGGTTTTTTCAACCGTACCGTACCGTACCGCTTTATCCGTACCGAAAATTCTTTGTCAGGTTTTGAATCCAGGACCTCCCGTCGACATTTAATTTCGATGACGGTTACTTACAACGATTTCTCGTTGTTGGAACTTTCTGGAAGTAGCGAAGTCTTGAATACAGATGTTCCATAGAAAAAATATTATTAATTAAATAATATTAACTTGATAAACAATTAATATCACTTCCCTTTATTGCTTGATAATAACACAATTAAGAAATAAATGCAGTCAATGCGTCAAAACAAAATGAATACAAATTACAACAGCGTTACAACAATCTCTTTAAATAAAAGTACTATTTATTCTTACTTACATACTAACGGCTTACTTTACTTTCTTAACACTGGTCTGAAACAAAAAATAATATAACTTATTGATTTAAATAATACACTTTAACGGTTTAAAACGCGATATCTTAGTTAAACTTAATTTGAAAATGATTTTTAACTTCGGCCCGACGCGTGACCACGGCTGCTGCAAAGCATCCGAAACCTCGGAAATAGCTGTTAATAAAAGCCTTCTATAAGGAGCTAACTCCGTACTACTACAAAAATACACAATACATATAAACAGTTAATTAGTTCTAATATCATGTATATACTCACTTTTTCTGAAATCCAAACATATTTAGTAAGGTGGGCTGGTTACTTGGCAGGGCTTTTTTCTTCAGCCCGGGCACTTTACAAGTCCCTTTCTTCGTATTTCTAACATTATTCGTAAACGTGAATTGACTGAGCGACTGTGAAACCTTCTGTGGGGATTCCCCGAAACTTTCCTACAAATAGACAGTTCATTAAAATTCACAAAAAATGAAATATTTTTATCATGTTTTTTAACTATTGCACTTGATTGCTTAACGAAACGGGTCTACAACTTACAACCTCGGAGTTTCATACTCTGAAGAACCGCTAGTCCAAATAATTTTTGCCCGTGTCTTTTAAAAATTTGTTTCACATAGCAAAAATGCCTATTTTAGATTGTTGATAATTATTGAAACTTAGTTTTATTACTTATTTCGTCTGAAATTACGATAAGATATCGTATCGTATATGTAAGCAATAATTAGTGAACTAAGAAACTTACTTGAGTATCAACAGGGGTTACCAACTGCTCCATCGGGTAAGTACACTCTATAACGGAATCTTGGGAATCCTGGTTTTGTTTCCTGAATGGATTCCTTGGACTGGGTAATACGGGACTAACGTTTTCCCGCCGCGGCGTTTTCACCGGCGAATTTTCCTTCTGCGAACTTTCCAATTCTTCGGAAAAACTCAATGCGCTATCTGTACTCTTGTCTAAGCAAATTATTTTATCCACGGGATCATCTATAATAACAACAGATGCGTCTGTACTATTTATTAGTATGTCATTTTGGTTGTGGGTATTCTCAGTTTTGGTCGGGGAATCCCCTAAATTCTTGTTAGGGGAAGTCCCTGCTTTTTCATCTAAGGCATCGCCCAAACTTTCTTTACATGGAGAAATCTTGTTTCTATCGTTGTCTGTCGAGAAAAACTTGCTCTCTATAACGTTTTCGTCCAAAATCGTTCTTGGAAAGCGGCTCAATTGCTTTAATACGCAGTAACTGCCATTTTTCAAGCGTTTCCTAAACGATTTTCCTTTATTCAAAAGTATAGGGGATGTCTTTTCTAGTTCAGGTTTGAGATCAGGTGTAATACTACTGCAAGCTGGGATATCATCAGATATTTTTTTTTCTTATTTACTGGTTCTATACAGTACATGTTGCTTAGCGTTTCTATGGATAAGCTGTAAGTGGAAAATAGTCAATCTATAAACAAAATGAATTTATAAGAACTAAATTATTGATTTTTCATTGATCGAGATCCTTTTAATTTTAAATTGTGTTTAACGACCTAATCAAATAAAAAAATAATTTAGTATTCGGTATACATTCAAATGAATTTAACTTATTTGAACGTATTTTTAATATATTTTAATTGCCGCCCTTTAGGATGTTTCGCAGAAGCCGTTGTCACGCAGGATATAAGTTAACTAATATATTTTGCATTTTAAACCGTGAAACGTGTTTTATTTAACAATAGCGTAGTTAAAAACTGCAATATGTATTTTGATATGTGTGAATTAATATGAAATTCTTTTTGATCACACACATTGAAATACTGTCAGTCTATCACAGTTAAGCATACCAAATAACCGGTAGTATCTCGAAGATACCAAGGCTACGGAAGTTATCGTGACGTGAAATTTAAATAATAAAATATAAAACCTCTCCTCTTGATCCTGGGTCTCTGGAACATATTTAGTGTCTAGATTAACAACATTCTTCCTAGGTCTAGTTTTAGTACTAATTATTTCTTCTGGCTGCTTCACTTCCTTCTTCCAGGGACTTGTCTTGCCTGAGTAATTGATGAAGTCGGGATTCCATATACTCGGATGAGGTGCTACACCTCTGTCTTTCCAATTGCTTGTTTTAATATTGTCCCTCTGCAAAGAGATTTTAAAAATTTATTTGTGTTAGAGAAATATAAAATTAACAGTGGCTTAAATAATTCGATTTGAAAAAAAAACAACAATTGGTGTGATTTTTTTTTATTAATTGATTCTATTCATTTAGAATCAGTTTTAAAATTAAACAAAAAAAAATCATCATCATTTCTCTCGTTTAGGGTACGGTTTCAATCTACGCATTTCCGAATATCCAAACTAAAATAGGTCGACCACACATCTTACTGAGGTGTTATATGGCTGGGGTATTTCACCTTCCTTCAAGTGCACCCCACGCTTGTCTGTCCTCCTTTGTTATAAAACATAGGCCGACAACACATCTTGTTGAGATTGATTATGGGTGGACTATTTCATCTTCCATCAATGGAACCCTATGGTTGTATGTCCTCCTTTATTATAAAACATAGGTTGACAACACATCTTGTTTGTTATGTGGCTGAGGTATTAACAAAAAACTCACATTAATATCACGGTTATCAGGATCCCAGTCGTCCATTTTCTTCAGCGTGAACGGATCCAAATTGCCCAATGCCAATTGAAATGCTACTTTCGGATCTAATAGTTCGCCTGCGTTCACGCACAGCGCTGTTTCAACATCTGAAGACAATATAAATAAAGTCTCTTTGGAATAATAAGAGCAAGAAGCCCTTTTTATAAAGAGATTTAAAAGCTTGGTTTGTCCGTTTAATAATATATCTTTATTTCTTTGATTATTATAACAAAATAAATGGTGTAGTGATAAAATGGTAAATGTATGCCTAATGATCAACGGGTTTTAAGTTAGATCGCCACTCGGTCCAATCTGGCTCTAATCAATTTATATTTCTTAATCATGCTGGACTCTATCTGGAAATATACTTATTGAATGGACGAAATTCTGCCTGGCTCACGAACCATCGATAAAAATCGGTGCAAAGTTTGTGTTAGGATTTCAGTAGGTGGTTTCCGAATACTTAAAGCACAAATAGGTAGACAACTCATTTTCTTTAGATTATATTTCACCACACCGGGTCAGGTATTTCACCTACCACAAAGTGAACCTCACACTTATCTGTCCTCCTCTATCATAGAAAAAAGGTCTATGCCGTCTTCCGACAGTTTTCCAACTGGACACTCAGGGACCTGGTATATACTATATACTTCACCTGAATCGTCAGGGTCCTCCAATCTACACATTCTCCTCTTGATGGGATCATAAACATACTGGTGTTTGAAAGTCGCCTCTGCTTTAAGAAAACCTTCTCTGTACTCATCAGTTACTACAAGGTTTGATCTGTTAAAGAAGCCCGGCAATTTCTTTAATGCCTGAAAAAATTTACATGATATTCAATCACGAAAAATAATATGCTAATGTTAATGTAAGTATTGTCTGTTGAACAAATTTTAATAAAACACTCTTAACCGTTTAAAACGCTACATATATAGTTAACTTATTTTTATTTTAACTATGGCCCTACTTTTATGATGCTTTGTAGCAGCCATGGTAAAGTGTTTTATTTGAATGGTTAATGTTAGGACAGTAAATGTGCCAATTAAATTTTAACTCAATAAGCCTATTGAATCATTTCTAAAAGCCTCTTTTCCTATGGAAAATGACTTTGACGGCTATCTATTGTCTTATTCTTTGTCTATTAATCAGTCAAACCAAAAATCCTAAATGCTAAACAGGGATGGGGTGGAAAGGACATCGAACGAAGTGGACTGATCACCGTCTGGCCTTCTATTGGTGTCCCACAAAAGAAAATAATGATAAAGATAGACAATGTAGCTAACTTAATGGGGATGTAAGTGCTAATCAATTTGGTATACTAAAAGGTTCTGAAACATTCCTAATAGTAGAATAAGACCAATACCAACATTAGCGAATACTGGATCCTGTGTTGCTGTGACAAACTGTCTCGCTTTAGCCAGGCCGATTCCAGGCAGAGAAGCTAAATAATCACATCCAGACATAATACACATCTGTCGGAACTTTTCGAAGCTGTATCTCTCTATCGGACATTTCATTACTAATGGCAGCTTCGCCGTTTCAACTAATGTCCCTGTTCCATTAAAATCCAGTTTGAACATAACCTGTAATCATAATAAAATATATTCACTTTTTTGTGAGGATTTTACATTTTTAGTGTCATATGTAAAATGAGTTAACAGAGCTTGTTTATTGATTATAATTCATAACTACATTATAAGAATTTTATATTTAAGCCTCTTTTTTTGACAAAACTCTTTTTTAAGAAAAATGTTAACAGATTACTTTCTGTTAACATTATTAACTATTTTATCCAGAAATTCTCAGATATATAAACAAGTATGGTGTCTTTACCTTTGTACATCCGAACAGAATTAAATCAGAGTCCTCAGTGATAACTAGGTGTGCAATATTCTTAACATTCAGGTAGGCCAATTGAGAATCTGCCTCGTATGGGGCTACTATACAATCCACATTACGATTCCTACATTCTTTGATAAGTTGTAAGGCCATAGCGTGAGTTATGTCTACACTACGACGCATATAAGAACGGGCTTCTTCGGTCTATAAAAAAAAAGGAAATCTTTTAATAAACTTTTTCAGCAAACAATTTTTTTTCATTGATCCTCTTTTTATACCACCTACACAAATTTCCTATAATTTAATAAATACATGTTATTTATTGTATCTAACAATTACTTTTCCTTTATAGTAAAGTTGTAGTTAAGAGTACCTTTCCTAAACTTAACAATTCTGCTGCTCTCTTTCTTGATATATCTCTTGACCTAAAACAAAAAATTATTTACAATTATGAAGAAATCTTTGTAATTTAGTTTTTTTTTAAGTTTACACTTACTCTCGTCGTTTAAGCTCAGTCATTGCCTTAGCTGGAAGGTGACGTCCATCAAAAACTAATATAGGTTTTATGTTGTTTGAAAGCAACATAGTCACATATTTTAAGCAATACCTTATATGGCTGTAAAAGTTAAGTAATTGATTAGAAAAACATCGTTATGAAATAATTCTCATAACTTGTATATGGGAAAATGAAACATAAAAAATCCCCAGTCAATTAAAAACTTATAAGTACATGAGCAAAGTAAATAACGGATTAGCTCAGTAACTTATGAGAAAAGAGTCTTAGTCTATCACTACATAATTTCCAAACTAAAAAGCGATAGAAAAGTTTACTAACGTAACTTGTTACTTACATATCCGTCTCTTCTCCTCGTACTAATTTATCAGCACAGGCAAAAGCACCTTTATGAAGCCAACAATAGCTATCGATTGCAACAGTAGACCCACTAAATTCATTTATGTTAGCCCTTCTAGAGGCTTTTTCAATAAAAGGAATCAACCCAGTGATACCCATGATAACATTTACCTTCAATCTAACTTTAACTTAAAACTACGTTTCAATTATACAGACATCTATCACGATTATTTATAGTTAATGTCGTCCTTATAATCAATATTGTTTTATACATAAATCATAATAACAACAATTTATAAAATAGACTAAATATTCTGCTCCTTCCCGCCATTGTAGCTCTTTATAATTGTGACATTGACAATTACTTTCTTTCACCATGGGGTATACACTTTACAGATTAAATTCAATACATTTATCTTATCACAGGTAATATACCAATCAAAATATTTTATTAGTACCAAATCCTACTGTTAATTAATGTAAATATTTAAGGAAGTATAGTTTTTTGTCTTTAAATTAGTCATACTTAATGAAAATTTTAGGGATCCAAGATTTTCCTGTAACGCATATGTACTACAAGTTTACATTTTATTATTTTTACAATGTGGGTAGTTCTGTAAATACCGGGTTTAGTGTAAACACGTTTTGACCTCTTAATTTTATCTTGATGCATAAAATTACAGACCGGTCTCAGTGCATCCTCAAAGATTAAATACATGTTCGATATTACTTAAAATGCGATTAAATCCACGTGTTCTGTCGTCGGCCGCTGCGATAGCAATAACATGTGTAGTGTCTGCTGCGGCGTACTTTTATAAAAGTCGAAAAACAGAGGTTAATGAAGTTATGGTGTTTTGTAAACTGCAGTTTAACGCTTTCAATTACTTTGATAAATTAATAAGCTTCATTGAATCTGCAAAAGAAAGTGTCAACGTTTGCATGCCTGGTATCCATAACCCAGTAATCCAGGGCCGTCTCGTCAGTCTGATGAAGGAAAAAAACATCAAAGTTCGTATAGTGATCGACCGTACAGGATATAATGAGTCAACTGACTTTTTTATTCGAGAGCTAGTCGAGTCTGGTAAGTTTATATCACAAAATGATTCAACAATGCAATTGCGTTCGCGGCTCAATATTAAACATATCGCTTAAAAATTGGGTTGCATAGACAGACTTCAAAACTTTAATCATTGTTTGTCTGTTTGTGAAACACAAGAATGTGTCTAAACCATGCTCTACGAAGGGAAACTGCGTTGTTGTTGATATCAGATAGTGGAGACAAATATGATGTTCACTTGAGGTACGGCTAAATACCCATATAATATCAAAACAATTTAAGCTGGCGATTTATTTTGGCATTGGATATTCAGACTTGCGTTTTACATTGTTTAGCAATAGTTGCCAATCTATTTTGATCGAGGATTCAAGGCAGGCAATAACTCATGACGAACTTATACAATTTCAGGTGCTGAAATAAGATGTAATGTCAAAGACTCAGTGTACGCAATGCAACATAAATTTTGTTTGGTTGACGATAGAATCCTGATGACGGGAACCTTAAACTGGGGCAACGATCGGTCCTTCGACAATTGGAACTACGTGTATATTACAAGTAAAAGGCAGCTCGTCGAACCGGTAAAGAATGAGTTTTATAAAATTTGGAAGAAAACAAGTAATATTGAACAGATTTATGATGCATCCTCAAGTGAAAGCGAAGCAGAAGTGGCAGCAACTGATGAAGCTGAAGTTATGGACGAAAACACAGATAAAAGTGGCAACACTATTAATCTGATGAGCCTTGAATCAGACACCGCCCTGGCTCATCCTTCTGCCCAAGAATTACCTGAGATTGTAAAAATTCATTAATATCTTAGGTAACTACCTAGATAGATTTAGTTTTAATAATTTGAAATTATTTTTTACATTTGAAAACATATATTCTTAAGAATGTGCCCAAAATTTAAATGAAATTTTATTTTTGCAGACAATGTGATTTTTAAAAACCATTTCAATTTTTATTATTATTATAGGGCATTTTTAAATATTATGCAGCTTTTAACAGATCTTTTTTCAATATTCAACAGTATTATTCAGATAAGCACCGGTGAAACTGCTTTTATCTTTAAAAGTGTTTCTTAACTTTACTTAAGTTATTTTCATTGTGTTTTAGTCTTCTCTATTCTTTATTTGTACTTTTTTCATTTTTAATATCATTGCATATTATTAATTAAACTAAAATGCTTTTTAATATGCTTATTATTTATTGACACAAATAGATTCCTTAAATTACAAGCTAGCATTATTTACTTATATTAAATTAACTTATAATTAACTATTTATTCTCCTCCCCTAATAGCTTTATATTTAGCTATTTCATTAGGGAATGTTTTAGAGAGTTCGGACAGGAGATGGCTTTTGAAACGCTTGTAGGAATCAATTTTTCCTTTTACTTCTTCATTTTTAGCTAACGCTTTATCAATGCAGTCCTTTGTGTACAGTTGTGGGTTTCGTCCTTGGTCAATGTAACTACAAAAATATAAGTTGGTTAGAAAGCAATTAAGATTCAACAGAAACTGCAAATGACCCTATATACAAAGCATTACCTTTGCAGTCAAAATCATAAAAATATTTCTCACTCAAATATATCCTCTAGTTTCTGTCAAAAGAATTTTGTATAATAGTAAATTTAAATACTGTTGAAAAATAAAATATACCTTATTCTCTTTAAAATTTCAAAAATGATTTAGATAAGTTACATTTTTTTCTTGTTTGTATGTTCGTCGTGATTCTTCAGAGTGTTTAAAAGAGCATCATAACTGAGAAGAACCCCAAGAAACTCAGTGTGGCTTATTTTTAATGTGTCTTATAAACTAATACATTGTGTTAATTTATTAACCTAAGGAGCAATTCATATTACTGCCAGGCTAATTTATTGATAAATTTGAAATCTGGACTTCCAATGTATAATACATATGAATACAATTCCCCACAAATTATTTAGATATTTTATGGAGCCTATATTTGGGGACAGCTACTTTATCCTTATTTCGTAAGTTTAAATTATGCCTATCACTATTCTTATCTTTACTTGCTTTTATTTTTATAGGAATACAATACATTTTCATAAATATACTGCGAGTACACAGTAAGTATACTGATATTTTTAAAGGTATCTCATAATGACTCCAAAAATAAAAGTGTTTCTCTAAAATTATTTACTACAAAGGCATAGGAACTGGGAGCTAATAAAGTAATTTACTGTTTATATTACAGAAAGCACTATGTACTTTCTTTAAACAAACTTCCACTGCTTGTTTGTGTTTACAATATTTAAAAATCACTTACTCAAACACTTCAGTTGGCACATGGATATCTTGAACTTGGGACTTTAACTTATCAACTTCTTGAAGACCAGTTACCAATGATTGTCTGAAACCAAAAGATTACTTTTACATGAACACAAACAATGATAAGCAAACAAGAAATTTAAACAAATATTGCATTGAACAATTAGTTGTACATAACATATTACTATCATCACAAAAAATATATATATATATAATGCACTGAAATACTCACATCTTTTGATTCAAAACACTTTGTCCCTGAGGCTGGAAGTCACTCACGATGATTCGAATTTGCCTCACATTTTCGACAAACATTTCCAATTGTGTCTCAAGGTTTTCTAGAGGTGAAGACATTTTTGTAAGGATTGTGCAGATTTCTTAGGTGGAAGTCGTACAAAATAGGTTTTAAACTTTAATCTCCTAAGTAGGTATATAAACAAAAATTATATTGTGATGAACAAGCGTTGTTACTTAATATTGTACAAGTCAACTGTCAAGCTTGACAGCTGTCATTAGTCGCGGAGACAGCCGAGATATAGGAAATGGAAAAGTAAACATAGAAATCAGCTGTTTCTCAAGTCGTGTAATTTGTTGTTCTGTAAATAGGCTTTAAGGCTCAATAAATTTATAATAAATACCAAAGATATGGTGTTTTACACACACAACTCAGCGTCAGAAGTCACTGTAATCCAGAGTGCAATAGCCGGCGGAATATCAGGTGCAGTAACGAGGGCTATCGCACAACCATTAGATGTTCTCAAAATACGGTTTCAGCTGCAGTTTGAGCCTATATCGAACGGCTCCAAATACAGCTCGTTACTACAAGCAGTGACGTCCATTGTCAAAGAGGAAGGAATATCAGCGTTATGGAGCGGACATATTCCTGCGCAAATGTTATCCATCTCGTTCGGTGTTGTGCAGTTTTCAGTGTACGAGCGTCTTACGCAAATTTGCCAACGGACAGACCCACAGTTTTACTTATCACATAAACACTGGTTGAATTTCTCAAATGGATCTGTCGCTGCTACCTCAGCCACTATCTTATCATATCCTTTTGATACTGTAAGAACTAGACTAATAGCTGAACATAAAACTAATAAGGCATACAAAGGATTCAATGATGCACTTAAATCTATGATTAGACATGAAGGTGTTACATCACTGTTCAAAGGTTTAATGCCAACAATTGCTCAAATAGCACCATATGCTGGTATACAGTTTTTTGTGTATAAGTTATTTACAGACACTATTTTCAATAGAATAAGTTTCTTTCAAAGGAACACAACTATAGGGAGTACTATTGAAACATCTATTATAGCTAATGTAATTGCAGGTAGCATGGCTGGGCTGATTTCAAAAACAATTGTATATCCGTTTGATGTTATTAAGAAACGGCTTCAAATACAGGGATTTCAACAGCATAGGAAGGCATTTGGTCGTCAAATGTATTGTAATGGATCTCTACAGTGTATCATGTTAACTATTAATGAAGAGGGATTTTTAGCTTTGTACAAAGGCTATGGCCCAAGTTTGTTGAAAGCTGTTATTGTTACAGCTTTGCACTTTACAGTTTATGATGAATTAAAATACTTCATATTAAGAATACAAAAATGATAGAAAAACTTTTGTATGCGGTTATTAGGTGCGTTTGTAAAACTGTTTTAAGGTTTAACCTGTATTCTCATAAGATTATGACTGTATAGTTAATATAAAACTTGTAAAGTTCTATAATTTAAAAATATCAACAGCGTTTTATGTGAAAGTCACTTAATTTCTTTTTTACTTACTTAAGTTAAGTTTTTACTGTGTGTAAGAAAACTCAAAGCTAATTTTTGAAAATTGAAACATATTCTTCTGAAAATTGATCTGCTTCCTTTAGTATTACGCCTTTAGTCAAATTAATATAGCGCCTGTGATAGTTGAAGTTTCTCTTACCTAGTAAGAAATCAGTGTACTAGTCGTTATTATTAAATCAAATTTAAACTAAAATAATAATAAACTTTATTTCATCACCCATAAGATATAACATATCCCATATTTCTCATTAGCGTATCCTTTATAGCCGGTTGCAGTTCCTTCTTCATATATGTGGTTAGAAGAGTCCTTATTCCTTTGGTGAATATATCCTCCATCTCCCTTGATATATCTTCAACGTCGTCCAAGTCATCTGGTTGATAAACTCTGTTTCTCTCGTAACTCCTCCCACTCCTTGGCTCGTAGACTATATCATAATTATATGACGCTCTTCCCGCTGGTTCATCTTCAACATTCTCTAAATGACTATCGAAAGAAAACTCATCAGATCGTTTTTTACGTCTCAGTGGCAAGTTATCCTTGTTCCTGATGGAATTCTTGTTAATGTACTTCTCGCAGCCATAAGCGTACACACTTATAAAACCGGGCTCAACGAATTCGGAGTCAGTTTTCACGTTGAATTTGCCTTGCTGCTGGTGTAAGGGTCGAGTGTGGAAGCCGATACCGGCTTTGCGCAATCTCAATATCATGTTACAACCGTTGCGACGCGTGTCACGGTAAGGCTCATAATTTCTACGTGATCGCGATGAACTTCTGTCCAGCTCGTTTGCGTCGAACAAGTCCACGTTACCGGATATTGTTATGTCGTGGAAGAGCAGCATGGTGTCCAGGGACACGTTCCGCGGATCAAAGTAGCATTTTTCCACTCGCACCCAGTCGGTATTCTGCGGCAGGCGCACGCGCATCCTTGTTACTATCATGTCGACTGGTGCGCTCCGCATTGTCTGGTACAAACTGTATCCGTTTAGGTCTATGCTTTGACTCTGTAATGAGACAAGAATCATGAAAACCATTTTCAAAATAAACCTATCTCTGGTCTTGAAAATATTAAATACATAATAAGTAATGAATATTCTGGCAAAACATTGTTCAATTGGCACTATAAATTTAAGTTCGCTTTTGCCTAAGCGGTTAAACTAACATTTTGTCATGTTTGATTAAGTATACTTACTATAAAGTAAAATAAGTAAATAGCGGAATAAAAGAATTATTTTTTATTTAGCTGTGTTAGAATCTGAGCATCACTCATATTCAATAAAGTTTGATCAGAAAATTAAAACTAAGCATACGCAATTAAAATACGTATTTTTTAAAATAATATATTTTGCTAATTTATTTTAGCAGGCGTGTTTTACTGATGTAACTTTCATAGCATACACAACATGTTTTTGTCATATAAACTAGTTAAGTAAAAATAGTTACCAACGGCGTATCCAAAGACTTTGGCTGATTTCTCTTACGGCGTTTCAACTGTTCCAAAGCGGATTCCAACCTTGACGAGCATCTTTCTCCAGCTATAGGAACTGTAGTTAATGGGGGTAGGTGGCCACTTAGTCTGTCATCGTACCTTTTCTCGAATAGGGGAAGAAATCTTAAACCTGTGAAAATGTACTACATTAATGTTAGAAAGATGAGAAAACTATGAGCGTTATATTTTGGACAGTGTAATCGATTTTTTTTAGAGGCAAGAATAACTTCTAATGTTAGTTAGTTCGAAAATTATCTTTTTAAATAAATTATGTTTCCCCAGGTTTCGAATCGACGACCGCATTGTAGTCGCGAGAAGGTGGACAAATCGTTTTAGTTTAAAATTGTTTGTTGTCACATTTTCTTGAAAAGGTTTAGATATAGACGGATAGTTCATTAAACTAGATATCTATATGTATTTAGAGAGTTTCTTTTGCCCCATTAAGGACTTGCGTTTTATGCTGTCATTTTTTTCAAAAATAATTGATTTAGCTTAACGAGAGACACATCAACGAGGGCATGGGGGTGATGACACCGCGTACTTCCAAACCTCTCAAAGCTGTTCATAAACAATTTCCAAATACCATGAAATACGAAATAAATGACAATGGACCTTTTATTTTAAATAATAACTTAAGTGTAGGTATGTAAATTTCTTCCCCTGTAAAATTTCAATAGCGAACTACTTAGTTCTACTTTTTTCCCTGAACTCAAATTGTTAACAATTTACTCGAAGACAGAAAGTAAATGTGCCTACAAATCCCATAACGACCGAACAATTTATTTTCACTTCCATTGTTTTGTAGCTAGAAGCGTGAAAAGAGAGTTAAGATGTATGTTTGATAAACGTAATTTGTTTATTGTTTTTATAACTAATTGTAATGTAATTACTATAAGAATCATTAATGCGATGGAGAGCACGTTAAAATTACACAAGAAATGCTTTTTTTCCTAGTTGTACAGTGTTTATGGTACCAATATTTTTTTAATTTATCTGTTTGTTGTGTTGTGCATTTGCTAGCCTCTGAAATAACCCGACCGCTTTTCTGTCTTTATGTTTATTCTTTTTTTTTAATTACACCTCTACAGCCAGTAACAAATATACCATTTTGCCTATTAGAGTGGTCTACACATTCGGAATTCATTGTTCATAAGAAAAAGCGTGAGAAACATACTGTCTAATAGTATATGAAAGACGTGCGATTTCACTAAATTATATTGGAAGAATTGTAAAGCAATCAGACTTATTTTTGTACATGTATTGTACAAAAATATATTTAAGGCTTAATCTTTTAAGCAATACAATGGTAGCCTAGAGCAACACTGTGCGACTTTAGTGTTGCCCTAGGTTAAAGAATATTAATCCTTAATAAATAAAAATATTCTATACACAAGACACGAAGGGGTAGATAAGTTAGGTAGTTATTATCTGTAGAACCTATTTCAAAATCGTGTTTAGGCTTCCACAGACAACAATCAGAGTAGCAGTGAAAGCAAGTTCAACACATATGTCACGTACCTTTTTCTGGTTCCGAATCTGGTAGCTTGTTATCACTAGTCAACGCAGTTTTAGCGAATAATATGAACATCCACCAAAATTTCACCATTCTCACAGATAATAGACATGTAATAGCTGTTGGTTCTATCGCTCAGTGGCCCACTTGAAATACAATAGAGCAAACGACTTCCTTTTGCAAGACCGAACCAAAGAATAAGTTGAAGAAACTGTCTGTTTGGGACAATACAATGCGAAACGAATGGTGAACAATCCCCGCCAGTGAGTTAATGCACTTGCCGAAGGTGTACTTGGGTGATGGTCTAGGATTTTTAGAGCGGAAAGTATGTTCGAGATTTTTATTATAGAACATGTGGGTAGACAGTCTTTATAAATGAATAAAACTACCTTCATAAAATACTATTTTTTAAGTACTAACACAGGCATTAAAAATTGCTCTAAAATGTAGGCTTCTATATATATATAATGTGTATATACTTACCTATAAGCTAGCTTATGACACTGTATGTGCCCTAGGATAGGCCGGTTTATAATTATTTTATTTAAAATGAATATAGCATAGCTTGTTATATTATGTACATTTTAAGTTTTCTTCTTGTATATTCGTTTGTTTTGCACATCACTTTATTAACATTCTAACTTTCCTTTTGAAATTCCTGCTTGCTTTTGAGCTAGCTAGCTAGCTAGCTAGTGCTTGGGCGCACTAGATTCTAGTGTGTTAAACTATTTAGTCATTATTTAATGGATTCTTGTGTGCAATAAAATTGATATAGATACAGTCTACATTAGCTGTTATAATTGATCATGTTATAGTACTTATTTGAATAATTAATGTGTAGCTTTTATAATCAATTTATAATTGTTCTGAAACATATACGACTTCGACTTGAAAACTGAATATTCAATGCGTAGTAGAAATATTTAAATTCCGCCCTGGTCACGAACCACCGTCCACAGATGAAAAACAGGTCAAGTTAAGCCAGTCTGTGGATTTCCGAATATCCAAAGTTAAAACAGGTTGACATCACATCTTGTTTAAATGTTATATGTTATATGGCTTCGGTACTTCACCTACCACCAAGTGAAACTTAGGTGCTTCTCTGTCATAAAAATGATCTCTCATTCGAAAACTTCATCATTTTCTAATCGCATATTTAAGATCACACAGAGATATATTAATGCGACATCTTGACGACAATCTCATCCGCTTTAACTAGACTGTGACGTAATTACGAAGTAAAATTGGGTCGGCGCGTTAAAATTGTTTACACGGAGGTTCAATGTACTTTAAATTTGAGGCTTATCGTCTTATCTCTCATTACAAGATAGTACACGTCATTTTATACAGTCTATGTAAATATGCACTAGAATTAGTAATAGTAGCATTTATAACCTACTAGCTGAGTCGGCGACTTTGTCCGCGTAGAATACTTAATTTGGGCATCAAGTTTGTTTTTGCGAGAGGAATCATCCCTTCTTACATATTTTTTGGGTATCTTGAAACGTTTTCGTACGCAACGGAAATCCACAATCATAAATAATTTCCCCCCCCCTTTTTCCTCATTACCCTTTGTTTCTTCGCTCCTATTAGTCACAGCGCCTTTTACAGCCTTCATTAAATGCTTTAACCATCACAAAAGGAATTATTCAATGCGAACCGGTAGTTCCTAAGACTAGCGCGTACTATACATAATAGTACTCAAATATGCAACTTATTATATACATTGACAATTATAAGGGATCTTCACTGCAGTTACAAAATTATCGTTATAACTAATAATATCGTTAATAAAGATCAACAGATGAACCCTGCGTGTTAAATCCTAGTCAAAAATACAGATTTCATGAAAGTTTTAACATCTTACACTATGTCTGGAATCTGCAATTAAATGAGTACTGGAAATATCGATATTCCGTTCACAAACCACCGTCCACAGATGAATACGCCGTGAAGTTTAATCACGTTTCGATTTGAGTTCGTGGATTTCCGAATATCCAAAACTAAATGGAACGACAGCACATGATATATCGCTGGGATATTTTATTTTCCATCAAGTGAATCCCAAGCTTGCCTGTCATCCTTTATCATAACAAATATACTTAAGTTTCGTTTCATATTTAAAATACTTGCAAAACACGAATGTATAGGCAAAAACATAACCCTGCGGCATTTTGCGCACTCGGTTAAAACATTTACGTTGTGTTTTACATGAAACCTTTTGAAATATCAACTTTTGTTGATGAAACAGATGTTATCGGCCCATGTGATAAAAATTACAATAAAATGTACTGTAACAGGTACATTACGAAACTGAACGAATGTTTCAAAATACATTGTTATCTACATGAATAGCTAAGTAATTGCGGTGTCGTTTCACAAAACTCGTCCAATTTTATTTCTGCCTCGGTTCCAAACTATGTAGGTACGCAACCCTACTTTAAACTATAAATTATACCATTCCCCTTTTCCCTATATAGATCATGATTCAGGTACATTTGACACACGTTTATTAGACTTCTGTATCCTGCCTGACTGAAATTCACTATTCTATTACTGTACGAGTTAAACCGTTGGCTTCTGTGTATAGAAAGCTTAAATTGATATAGATATACAATTGGAGGAATATCCGCCCGGGTCACAAATCCACAGACTTTGAATTTTTTTTGAAGTTGTATCGCGTTGCGGTTCTGTAGCGAATCTCGTTGAGGTTCTATTCGATTAAGTGAATCAAACGCTTATTCTCCTGTATTATAAAAAAATATGTGCAAAAAATAGGTAAAACTAGGAAAATAATAAAGAAAGTTCCACACATGTATGTATATAGCTTGTAGGCGACGGTTAAAACCAAATACAATTTTCACATTTCATCACATTCAAAGTAATCGCGTAGAGCAATTTATGTTAGGCATTATTAATTTATTTTTAAAATAATTTTGACTCTTGATCTTTGCGCAATAGCCAATAAATACAATACCCAAACATACATACACACGTACATTGAAAAATAATAAGCGGTATTCACGACGATGCTGTCTTGAACCGGCATCGTCAGCGTTCCGTGCTTTTGCTCTACCAGTTGACTCGGTAACTCAATTGGTAGAGCAAGACGATGCCGTCTCCCCGTGACCACGGCTGCTGCAAAGCATCCGAAACGTCGGGCCGAAGTTAAAAATCATTTTCAAATAAGTTTAACCAATATATCGCGTTTTAAACCGTTAAAGTGTTTTATTTAAATGTGTACTACTCGCGTAAACTATAGACAGTATTTAAGACGATGCCGGTTCAAGTCGAAAATGTTTTCAATATATTTTCGATTTTTAAATTATATAGTGCCTTCATGTGCTGATTGTTTATGTGCTGTACAGGTATGCTGTTTGTTTGTGGGTTCGTATCGCGCCCGTGTTATTATTTATATTTAGGTAATCTAAATGTTAAAATTTAAATTACAGTGACAGCATATATTTCGCGTGCCGTCACCGTAAAATGTGAATTATTAGTAAATTTGATTGAGTTGACCTCCATTTCGTTACCAAGTTACCTAACCTTCCAACATAATAATTACACTGGAAACCCACTCAGTCAATCGATATTCAATTGTTCAAAGGTCAGTGATTCTTCAATTATTACGGAGCTGATACGTTGAACCAAGTCGCCATTTATTCGGTTAGTATTTAAGTTTACGCGGGTCGGTATATATTTCTTAAAGTTAGAAACGCGATATATATACGGTGTGGAACTACTATACATCCAAAACTTAGGTCGTAGTTAAATATGTTATATATTTCACGTTTTAACCAGTTAAAATCTTATCAATAAAAAAAATCTGTTGTTGTTTTTAATCTATAATTAAGAATCAAAAAAATAATGAATACATAATCGTTTGTTTATAAAAAATAAAGATAGGTAGTAGATAGACTTAATACTCTTTTCTGACCCTAATTCCCGATGATTATGAGGAAATGGATGTGTCGTTTTGATTGCGCAAGCGCATCTACACGAGCTTGTGTCCGCCGTGGTGCAAGTCACCATTGTCTGTGTTCACTCACAATAGGGAAAGCATCAAAACGAGTGACGTTTTTTTGTTGGGGCCATAAGAATATTTGTGCTAAATAACAACTTGAAAGAGTTTTATGGACGTTCTAAGGTACTGAAAACGGCATGCATAAACCGATAGACAGTTTCATTATCGGGTTTGATTAATAATATAATATATCAATTGTAAATGTTAATAAGTTAAATAAATTTAAAAAAAAACCCGTCTGATATGAAAATAAATATAAAATATCGTCGTTATGCGTAAATATATAAATAGGTAGAGTTGTTTCTCTGGTAAATAATTCTTACTGTGTCGGTTGTGTTGTTATCTTTAGTACCTACTAAGTCTGAGCAGAAATGGCTGAACATATTTGAAGGATCAAATATTACATAGTAACTATGTATAACACTTTAATCTATCCATCTAAAGTTACTTATTACTGTTAAATATTTTTATCATGCATATCATTAATCTTTTTAATTAAATTACAAATTTCGTGGCCCACATTATAATTTCAAATACTTATATGACATTATGCTACGATTTATTTCCATCCATTGTTATCGTATGTTATTGAAAGATCTTAAACGAAGTATGAAAACAAAAACGAGGAAACTAATTACAAACATTATTATTTCAATAGGTATGTACACTTGAATATTATAATTTTTACATACTTATAAAATTATGTGTTTTGAATGACCGATGAATAAAAAATTGTCCTTGGATAGGCTTGACTAGTTCCAGACAACCTTTGCCCATCTTACTTTAATATTATATAAATATAGTTTATTTATTGAAATTTACCCCCACTAGGCGAAGCGACACACGTTTAAAAGCGACACAAGTAACATAACGATTAACGACGCATTACTTGTTCCTTATATTCCTTTGTGACATGTGAAATCCAGATTCCCCTCGTGGGGCATAGAGCGAACACATTTCTGTGTCCGTTTCACTGATCGGTTTACAGGCAAGTAGTTAATCAGACTTCCCCGGTTTCCCAGGGATTTGAACCCGAGACCTCTCACGCTTAACGCATTGCTAGGCAACACGTTTAACCTAAAGCTACAGAACCGGTCCTTATATACCTGCATAGATAGATATTATACTCTTGAATATTATTTAAAGGAAGTTATTATAATTACCGGTACAAGTTATAAAGTCAAAATTAAGACAATTATAATTACGTAGTGACTTTGACTTTGGAGAATATTCTCTGTACGTAATATTGTAATTGATTGAAATTTATTTCTAGAACCATCTATTAATCCAGATATTGTGGAAATAAGAAAAACTCGGATTATGTACTCCCATAAAAGAACTATACTTCAGTAATAAGTTAAATACGTAGAACACTAAATAAAACTTAGAATTAAAAGAAAAATAATGGAAGGAACTGAATATCGTTGATGTCTTTTTAATAGCGCTAGAATGTTTCTGCTAAAGACATCAACGCTTATTTTTTGCAATAACCGCTCATATGCGATAAGTATAGTAAGTAGATATACTTATTTATGCATGTTTATTGCCTAAATGTTAGAATAAGAAATATATTCCCTTATAAGGATTACAAATACAGTATCTACTTAACTATTCTTTCGTGTTCGTAAATGTTTTTACAATGTTTATCGCAAAGTTTTTATTTAGTATCGATTTTATTTTGGCTTATAAGTATATGAATATAATGCAGCTGCAGAATAAGATGCTGCAGATAGAAAAGCTTAATAAGAAGGACGTTAATTAAATTAGGGAGGTCCTAAACAATAAGTTCATATCATTTTATATTATATTTATTTGCGTGTTACAACGCAGTAAGAGTTCATTAAAATTCATCCTTTTAAATCAATTCTAATAAATAAAATTTAATTAGCCCAATATTCTTATTGATTCTGTTTCGGCCAATCAAAAACTGTCGTAGGATAGGGAGAAACCGTTTATTGGCCACTTCCTCCGTTAATTGAATCAAGCGCACTGCGCAGATGCAACGAGTGCTCTGTAGTACAGATAACAATCACAAATATCTAACTAGGATGATAAAAAAAAATCGGAAATTATACTGTAATAATTAAAAAGAATAGCATGATTTTTCAGCCGTCATTCTTTTGTTATTTGCCATTCGGCCATCGGTACGATTCAGACGTTTTAAAATAATTTGTTGTAATGAATATTTATATCACCGATACAATACATTAATTAAAAATCATTCGCCAATTATTTTAAACGTGATTACTAATAATATTGACTATAAAACTTAGGCAACGGAAACATATATACATAAGTATAGAATGTACCATAGATAACATTCCATCGTGTGTACTGTGTACTGTGTAGTCGTGTGTGTTGTTTCTGTTGTTTTTGCAACATACAAAAATAATACAGCGCCCTAATCAATTTATTTTTAGAAGATTTATTACAGAAGTGTTCCTACTGCGCATTAGTTTCACTCGACTCGTCCAGTCTAGATTTAAAATGTTTCAAGTCTTAAGACTTAGACATCGTAAATATGTTCTCGCGATAACGTTGTGCCACTGACGTCGATAAATTCAAGGTTTAAATATGTATATCAAGGTGTTTTAAACAATTTCTTAAATGCAAGAAGATAAAATAAGGTAATCGACGCTGTATACATTATGAACAAAAGACTGGGGCTTCGTCCTTCACTCGTTAGAATATCGTTATCTACAGTGCACGTAACAGATCGGTTTTGTTAGAGGTGATTACGAACTAATATAGTGCATGTAAGTACGCCGCGAGCACATCTCGCTTCAATATCGTTCAGCAAACGACGTGTATATACTAATTTAAGCTATCTTCACTGGTGGTGGGTCGCTTACTGCATTCTTATCACAATTTATCAGGTAACGCAAATAATGTAATTACTAATGGGTGATAACACACGCTAGTTACTCATTATGGCTAATGTAAAGAGTAGAGTTAACACGACTAAAACAGCAACTAGAAATGGGAAAGGGAAGGTCGGCAGACCCAAAAAATCTTTATCTAATGTTCAAAATGTGACAGGCAAAGATGTTATCACAAGGCAAGCGAGGAGAAAAGTGAGAACACAATCTGAGGACACTCCTAACAAGCACACAAGCCCACTTAAAGGAAACACTAATCTCAAAAGGTTACAATCAGGCGGCCACATCAGACGGAAACGTAAGCTTGATATAAATTTATTTGATGAAATATTAAAAAGTGAACTGCAGATTGATGATAATAACCACAACATAGTGAAAAAAGATGACAAACCAAACTCAAATGTTAAGGATGAGCTATCAGATTCTTTAGCCAAAGACAATCATCAGAATAGAAAAAGTAGCAGTAACTCGGAGAAAAGTAGCAATAAAGAAACTGTAAATGTGCAGGTTTTCATATGTGATTATTGCAATAAACAATTTAACAACAGAGCTTCAGTACGAAGACATCTATTTGTCCATGATAAAGTGTCTTCATTCTCATGTCCTCAATGTAAAAAGTACTTTCAGAATCACTTATATCTAGCGGCTCATACAAAGAGGCAACATCCCAACTGGGAGAAGCACTTCATGTGTAACATTTGCGACAGACCTTATCTGCTCAAGTCAAATTTGAAGCTACATTTAGCTAGCCATAGCCGCGATGAGAAAATGTTCAAATGCATATATTGTAAAGAGAAATTTGCTGATCAACGTCTACTTATTGATCACGAAAAGCAGCATTTAGTTGATGGAAAGTATTTGTGTATAGTTTGTGAAATGGCTTTTGACTGCAGAAATAGACTAACCTTTCACTACAGGTCTCATTTAAAAGTTAAGGATTTTGTATGCCAGCATTGTGGAAAGGAGTTTCTGAGGATGAATTCAGTGAGACGTCATGTGCAAGTTTGCCATTCAGGCCACCGTCTTCAATGTAAAATCTGTAAAAAGTTTCTAAAGGGGCATCTGTCCGAACATATGCGGACACATGAGAAAACTAGACCACATGTCTGCCCGGAGTGTGGACAGCGGTTCACACAGTCCACTCAATTGACAGTTCATCGTAGATCACACAGTGGTGCTCGACCGTATTCCTGTAGGATCTGTAAACGTCCGTTCACACATTCCAATGCTTTAATGCTTCATATACGTCGCCACACTGGTGAGAAGCCGTTTAGTTGCGCAATGTGCCCCACATCTTTCTCTCAGTTACCGCACATGAAGGCTCACATGCGTAAAATTCATGGAAAGGAAGATCCCTATAGGTGCCAGAAATGTAAGAAATTCTTCAAACTGAAAGCTGAGTTAGAGGAACATTTGAAGTCTTGTAAGAAAAAGGGAATGGGAGTAAAAGAGGATCTAGATGTGGAGTCAGCTACTCGACTGTCTAGGATGAGGTTCCTGCTCGCCCTGCTACTCACTATGATTGCAAGCAAAGAAAAACTAAAAATCTTAGGTGCGTACACTTAAATTACTTCACACTAGTTTATTGCACTCTTTGTCTTTGAGTTAGTGTGAAAGCAGCTTCCTGTGTGTCCGCCAGTAACAGGAATCATGTAATACATGTCTCATTAAATTAAGGACAACTTTTAGCAGAACAAACATTGTTAAAAATTATTTGCTGGTTTCAAACAATTAATTTATTTGCATTCATTGATTATGAACATTTGATGTTTAATTTAACAATATATGCACAATACATTAGGTACATGAATCCATTAAATTATACACAAAAGTATAAGACACAGATTTCCTGACTGCAAACGTGTGAGTGTTTATCGATGTGTGCTTAAATGAGTGTCCATTAGCACTTACATTACATAGCTTCAAAACCACAGTTTTATTTTAGGGGATATCTTACCATCAGGCTGCAACGGAAACCCCAGATGAGTTGATCTGAGTGAGTTCATCGATTTGTTAATAATTCAGGTGTTGGAAGGTTATGGGTTGAGAATCCTTATTGGATGTTATATCTTAGCAGATATATTCTATTCTCTTAACTGGTGGTGGAGTCAACTTTAGATTTTTTTATATGGTTTTTGGGATGTCCTTTAAGTGCAGAGCTATTTCAGCTTTGTTTGGTGTTTTGCGGTCACTTGGCTATTGGTATAAACCTCATCAAGTTTTTTAATCCTTGGTAACCAAGAGTATTTCTTTTAAATATTGCTAAACAAATTCAAATGTAAATTTTTGTAACAGGTTTCAACAAACGTTTAATTGACGACTTATTGGTGGAATCACTGGAAGCCATGAATTACACTCCATGCAAGGATTACACTTTGACCCCCTTCAACCGCCTCAAAATTAATATAGAAACACTATTGGAAGGTACTGTCCCTTCAGAGCAAATGGAGAAATTGAGAAAGGACAACAAAACCACTGAGCAAGTCCTCGAATTATTGACAGATGAGAAGAAACGCAACTAAAAGTAAGCTGTATAATTGGTGTTTTGTTAGAATTAAATTAGGTATGTATTGGTCTGCTTACAAGACGAAAAACCTAATACTATCAAACAAAATAATTAAATTATCATTTATTTATTCAAATAATAAAAAAACATAATGGATGAATATATGCTGGGCTAATAACCAAATAATTAATTAGTAAGTATATTTTATTTATTGACATCACCAAATATTTAGAGATAAGTTGTGAATCTTTATATAAATTTATGATCTATCCAATATTTTCATCGCTTGTCCAAATACTTTTACAAGATTGAAGTGGTTGAAGAAAATTTATAAAACTAAATACATGTTGAACAACAAACTTATCCGAACCTTTACAATAGATTTCAAGTATAAATTAAGAATACACAGTTCATATTTTTCCAAATCTGGGATGAATTTAACCAAATAATCCTAACTTATATTAATATAATTACAATTTATTACTAAGATTTAAATGAAAGTATCTATGTTAGGTAAGTAACTAAATTGTAGTGTCTACTCCAAAAGAAGCCCAAGAAAATTATTATATGAAAGAAATATGTATTAATCTTTTAAAAAATATCAGCTATGTGCCATGATTTATTATTTATTAGGTGTATTGTTTTAAAATACTATTTTGTTATGAGTATCACTTATTAATTGTAAACACAAATTGTTATCTGTTATGATTTTGTAATGCGAAACCAGTGCCATTGTATTTTATGTTTTGCGTAGGTACTTATTACATTATGTAAAAAAAAACTACATTTTTTTAATTATGAGACTTAAAAACTTTATTATGTTTTTAAGATCGACGATATAAAAGTTCAAACACCGTCTATCCTAACATGATGTACCTAACGTTTTTTAAAATATTATTTTAACGCACCTAATTTAAAAGTGATATTAGTGAATGTTTTGATTTAAAAATAAGTAGTCGAATTCTCTTTGTATGTCTTATTTTATCGTAGCGCGTTTTATTGACTATCGCAATTATCTTGTTTGTCAGCTGTTTACTATTTGATAACATCTTATAATATGTAGGTAATTATAAAAGAAAAATAATTAACCTACTAGAGAGTCTGTTTAATAGATTAAGTTGATTGTAATGTAGTTGTGTATTAATTTCTTGCCAGTTAAAACAATCACAGCCAAAGATGTTTAAAATTTATTAATCATTTTACCAAAGTGGCAGTTAAATTTTTTTATTTATATTAGTTTTAGCCAGTCTTCATTTTTGTGCTAGTGTGTTATATTGGTTTTTTCATTACACACTGGTTTATAATTCCAAAGATACTACTGCCTATGATATAATTAGGTGTCTGTATTGTTGATGTCTATTTAAAAGTAATTATAATATAACCATGATATAGTACAAATACGTTATTTCATTTTTTAAACTTTACGCATTTAGATAACGCATTCTCAGGATTTGAAGTAATATTGAAATGATAATGAATAAATTTCTAGGCATAAATATCTACACAAACTATAACATCACTACACAATTTTTTCATCTGTGGACGGGGATTTTCGTGACACGGACGAATTTTAATATTCCTACCAGCCATTTAATATCCAGATTTCCAGACGAAGTCCAACATGTTGAACCCGCTGGGGATCGAACCCACAGCCCGTTGATCATTAGCCATTCATTGCTACCATTAGACCAACGAGCCTGTCAAAAGGATATCTGCATTTAATGAATTTGAAATTAAACTATGTATGATATCTTTTGTAATAACGCCACCACTATTACACGTAGAGCGACTTGAATCGACATTTTTATGATAAAGGAAGACCTAAACATAGGGTTCTCTTAATAAGTCCTTTTCCGGCCTTATAACATCTTCAAAAATGCTCTATCGACTTATAATAGCTGTGCAGATAAAGTCCTTTTTAGAAAATATTTAAGTTGATTAGAAACATATTGATCCCGGTATGGATGAACCAACACCGGCAGGCCGATTTTGTAACTTTTGACAATCAGTTATCAACTAGCCTTCAGTTGTCCACCGTAATTCGATGATAACTAAATGATGGTAACTATTGGTATTTTGTAAATTGGTGAGTTACGGTGACTAACATGGCGGCATAGCCACTTATAACGTAAACACAGAACATCACTATTTTTTATCGACTATTATTCGACTAAATTGTGAAAGCGTTGTATCCAGTGATAATACACGTACTGTAAGAACATTTTATTTTAACTAATTATGTCCTCGAAAATTACGGCTTGGCGGCTATTTCGAATACTTTAAAGTTCTTATTTCATTTTTGTTTATGTTATTGTTAATTGAAACGTTGTGAAGAGGGTAAGTAATCATTTATATTGTTAACTATAATGGATTGTTGTATGAAGTGTAAATGTTTAGTTAAATTAATAACATCGCGCTGTAATTGTGTTTTAACCGAGAAAAGTTAGTGGAAGGCAAATGGAATTGCTGGTGGACTTTGCGGAAAGGAACCCCAATATAGCATTGGGACATTTTCCGGGAGATTTGTGTACAGATATTTTAAAGTCTGTTACCTACCTATTATAAATAATATCTTTTAGATAATAATTCTGCTGTGACATAGTGTGTATGTTTACTATGACTACACTGTGAAACCTGTATAATATTAGTTTTAACTATGTTCACAGAATTTGTACTTCACCAACTCACCACCAATGTTGTACCAACCAGCGAACCACCACCACAACACCGACCACATACAACAACTCTACCACAACGACGAAGTATCAAATTTTTTACTTCATTTATTAATGAATAATTTCTTTGGCTAATAATGTTATTTATTATGCCATATCGTAAGACTGACATTCCTTCCCTATTTTATTTATTTTGTAATTACTCATCTTATAATATGATTAATGGGACATATATGTATATTAAAAGTTACACAACTAAAATTAATACATACATTATAAATTAGTTCCTTTTGCAAAGATTGCAAACCGACTGGTGAAATCTGTCAATCGAAATAAATATTTTTTACTCCTAACACCGGCTTGCTAAATTTAGGATAACATAATAATTTTTCTTCATTAATTACAGTTCGTCAAGACGTGTTGCAGCGGAAGAAAGAATGGCAAATGCTGTGCAATCACTTGCTGAATTAATTAGGGAAATTAGAGATGACATAAGACATTTTGTTAATAAATAGAAGAGACATAAATGGTAATTTTTTATTCTGATAGTTATAAGGTCCTCTAAATTAATACAATTATTGACTTTTAATGTTAAAGCGTATTAAAAAAATTATTTACAACATCTAACATTATGGTACACTTACAAACCTTAAAATATATGCCATGTATATCATAACTGGGACTTTAACTTAAATTAACTAAATAAAGTTAGATTTTAAATAAAATCATATATCTAATAATATAAAAAAAAATTATAGTATTACACATTATAAAAAGAAACTTATTAACTATTTCTATTAAAAAACTAAAGTACTTGTCTTATTATAAAAAATATTCCAAATCCCACATTCTCTGTACAAGAGTTTTTTATTTTGTTCTTCCGCTAAACTCAACATAATTAGACGTGCCATAATTCTGCAATATTATAAAACACAATTAAAAATCACTAAACGACAAGAAAAATAATAATCACATTGTTAATCACCAAAATATAAGAATAAAACACTACCTTTGAGTAGTGTCTTTCAACGATCAAAGTGAATAACAGTTTGATGATAACTAAGCGTACAAAATCGCAATTTTTCAAATATCGATACAAAAACTCATTTACGGTGACGATCAACAATCTCGGTTCCTTTTGACGTCATAATCGTTAGCAATCGAAAATAGCAAATACCAAACTGGCTCTTTGACAGATAGTTGTTGTCAACTAATGTCTAGTGATTAACACTATTGAGTTACAAAATCGCCCTGCGGGTTTGAATATTACTTGACTTGAGTGTCGTGTTCTGACGCCTTGTGGCATTATTTTTAATTAATGATTGATAAACAAAATGTTGCTCTAGAAAAGATAAGTTTCAATCTTCTTTTACAAACTTTAATAACGAAGCTGATATTTGTAATTATTTGTTGATATTCATATCATGTACAAAAAAGTATGATAGCTGTCCTCATATTATAATGATACTGATAGCATTTTTTAATAAAAAAATATTTTAATGTCATATATATGTCAATTTCAAATATACATTTTTAAAATCGTCATAACAGATCCTAAAGAGTAGTATCAACGTTTTCATATTAAATGCATTACAGCCGAAACCAATCTGCAGGCCGATTTTGTAACTTTTGACAATCAGTTATCAACTAGCCTTCAGTTGTCCACCGTAATTCGATGATAACTAAATGATGGTAACTATTGGTATTTTGTAAATTGGTGAGTTACGGTGACTAACATGGCGGCATAGCCACTTATAACGTAAACACAGAACATCACTATTTTTTATCGACTATTATTCGACTAAATTGTGAAAGCGTTGTATCCAGTGATAATACACGTACTGTAAGAACATTTTATTTTAACTAATTATGTCCTCGAAAATTACGGCTTGGCGGCTATTTCGAATACTTTAAAGTTCTTATTTCATTTTTGTTTATGTTATTGTTAATTGAAACGTTGTGAAGAGGGTAAGTAATCATTTATATTGTTAACTATAATGGATTGTTGTATGAAGTGTAAATGTTTAGTTAAATTAATAACATCGCGCTGTAATTGTGTTTTAACCGAGAAAAGTTAGTGGAAGGCAAATGGAATTGCTGGTGGACTTTGCGGAAAGGAACCCCAATATAGCATTGGGACATTTTCCGGGAGATTTGTGTACAGATATTTTAAAGTCTGTTACCTACCTATTATAAATAATATCTTTTAGATAATAATTCTGCTGTGACATAGTGTGTATGTTTACTATGACTACACTGTGAAACCTGTATAATATTAGTTTTAACTATGTTCACAGAATTTGTACTTCACCAACTCACCACCAATGTTGTACCAACCAGCGAACCACCACCACAACACCGACCACATACAACAACTCTACCACAACGACGAAGTATCAAATTTTTTACTTCATTTATTAATGAATAATTTCTTTGGCTAATAATGTTATTTATTATGCCATATCGTAAGACTGACATTCCTTCCCTATTTTATTTATTTTGTAATTACTCATCTTATAATATGATTAATGGGACATATATGTATATTAAAAGTTACACAACTAAAATTAATACATACATTATAAATTAGTTCCTTTTGCAAAGATTGCAAACCGACTGGTGAAATCTGTCAATCGAAATAAATATTTTTTACTCCTAACACCGGCTTGCTAAATTTAGGATAACATAATAATTTTTCTTCATTAATTACAGTTCGTCAAGACGTGTTGCAGCGGAAGAAAGAATGGCAAATGCTGTGCAATCACTTGCTGAATTAATTAGGGAAATTAGAGATGACATAAGACATTTTGTTAATAAATAGAAGAGACATAAATGGTAATTTTTTATTCTGATAGTTATAAGGTCCTCTAAATTAATACAATTATTGACTTTTAATGTTAAAGCGTATTAAAAAAATTATTTACAACATCTAACATTATGGTACACTTACAAACCTTAAAATATATGCCATGTATATCATAACTGGGACTTTAACTTAAATTAACTAAATAAAGTTAGATTTTAAATAAAATCATATATCTAATAATATAAAAAAAAATTATAGTATTACACATTATAAAAAGAAACTTATTAACTATTTCTATTAAAAAACTAAAGTACTTGTCTTATTATAAAAAATATTCCAAATCCCACATTCTCTGTACAAGAGTTTTTTATTTTGTTCTTCCGCTAAACTCAACATAATTAGACGTGCCATAATTCTGCAATATTATAAAACACAATTAAAAATCACTAAACGACAAGAAAAATAATAATCACATTGTTAATCACCAAAATATAAGAATAAAACACTACCTTTGAGTAGTGTCTTTCAACGATCAAAGTGAATAACAGTTTGATGATAACTAAGCGTACAAAATCGCAATTTTTCAAATATCGATACAAAAACTCATTTACGGTGACGATCAACAATCTCGGTTCCTTTTGACGTCATAATCGTTAGCAATCGAAAATAGCAAATACCAAACTGGCTCTTTGACAGATAGTTGTTGTCAACTAATGTCTAGTGATTAACACTATTGAGTTACAAAATCGCCCTGCTGATGCATCACGTCACGTCTAGTCAGTCACATATGAAAACTTCTCTATGCTGTACTTCGATCTTATAATCTGTTCCCAATATACACGCGTGCTTTGTTGTTATGAGTTGTCAAATGTCAAGTGTCATATCGCTGTTTACAATTTCTACGTAGATTCAAAACTTTACAAAAAAATATTTAAAAAATTGTGCTCTCGAATTTGTAAAACATTCGCCATGTAAATAATTTATTACTAAAAAGTGTTTAAGTATATACAAATAATGGGGACTACAGGCCAGTCTATTACTTTGGCCAATAGTATTATCGGAGTTGGTATATTGGCAATGCCCTTTTGTTTTCAACAAGTAAGTCAATAAATAAAAGTTTTATACCTTGATTTACCGTGATCAAGAACTTCATACATAAATTAACGATTTATTAAACAACGCTGTAAAAGTTGTCAAATTATAATGTGTTTTAATATTTTTATATTTACTGGCTGGTGAGAGCGAGTTGAACAATTTTTCTATGTTTACGACACGTACCTACGTTTTCTTTCCTTTTTAATTTTTCAGTGTGGTGCCCTATTAGCTACTTTGATATTGCTTTCAATGGGACTGGTATCCCGACTGTGTTGTTATTTTCTTTTAAAAGCAGCCATTATAACTAGGAGGAGAAATTATGAATTTCTTGGTAAGTAGCCTTCATATCATAGGCAAACAAAGTTCCATTTTGTAGTATATATTATCAAATGGTTTATAAAAAATCCACGAACATTTAGAGATTAAGATTATATTTTTATTTGCTTATGATAACTAATCCGATATACTTTCAATCTTGTCTTATAGTTTTCGATAGGAAAATATTACACTTAACTTATTTTCATTGTACACCTTTGTTTTTTAATTTTCTAGCGTTCCATGTTTTTGGCTCATCTGGGAAAATGGCAGTAGAAGTTGGTATTATTGGCTTCCTGATGGGTACTTGTATCGCCTATTTTGTGGTGGTCGGAGATCTAGGTCCACAGATTATTTCTAAAATGTTTAATATCAATCAAAGTGATATATTAAGGTAATTGCATTTACAATAGTAAGTATAAATTAATATATTTCTAAAAAAGTTTATACATTAAATAAAGTTATGTGATGGGACATTACTGCCATTGCATTGTTTTACTATTTCAGAACATCAATAATGGTGATAGTATCCCTAGTGTGCGTGTTACCATTGGGTTTATTAAGAAATGTGGACAGTTTGAGTAATGTTAGTGCAGCAACAATTGCATTCTACTTCTGTTTAGTTATGAAGGTTAGTTTTATAAAAATTGGTATCTTTCTTAAAGTATTTAGGTGCATAAAAGCTGCACCTCTGGTTATGATGTAGAAATGGTTTATTTATAAAAGTCTTGTATGTAGTTAACTTGAGTAGAATAAATGTAAATAAACTCTTAAGGCTCCTTAAAAGAAATAAAAAATTAGATAAGGCAAGGTTTCAAACATGATATTATGTTTGAAACCGTACCGTAATATGCATATAATTAAAAGACACTGAATCTTATTACAGGTGATAGGAGAAGCAGGATCTCAAATGTTGGCTCCAGATTGGCACAACAGAATTGAGTTGTGGAAACCATCTGGCTTACTTCAGTGTGTTCCAATTTTTTCCATGGCACTGTTTTGTCAAACGTAAGTTAATTTTTTGTGTAAAAACATTTGCGAAGAAGCTTTTCTGCTCTATGGATGAAGTCTTATTTTATGTATTACGTAGTATATCAATAGCATTTAGCGTCCCCTTAAACATCTACAATTATGTTTTGCCAGGATGTGGATAAAGAACCGTTTACAAAAGTCAAATACTAAGAGCATATTATCTATTTTAACTAGCAATAAAACCTACAAAAGCGCATGAGCTTTACTGTTTCATGTCAAAGGGATACAAAACATCATATGCAATAATATGTAAAAAATTTAAAGTTATATTCATATGTTTGTATGAATCAATTATCTGCCTCATTTCACACCTAATGATCTCCTCTTTTTTGATTCCGTAAAATAGAACGATTTTTAATTTCAGACAATTGTTTGAGATATTCGAATCGATGCCGTCACTGTCCCTGGAGAAAATGAATGTTGTGACAAAGAACGCAATCAATATTTGCGCAGCTGTTTACTTCACCCTAGGGCTGTTCGGTTACATCGCGTTCAGTGAACACGAAATATCTGGTAATTGTCTGCTATTTATTCAAGTATATTTTCTACAAATTAGATGTATTTTAATTATGTAGTATTATGTATGAGGCTGCTAGAGGTAGAGTGGCCTAAGTTATTAGGTTTTGTTTAAAAAACATGATCACTGCTCTTGTAGATTAACATTTTTAGACTATAAAAATATAACTAAGTCAAGTCATAAAATTGCAGTTAAGCTACTCTGCCTCTAGCTGCCTCATATATAGTAATATATATTATCAGTATTTCAGGTGCCAAATGTACTGCCATCTTGAAAACTATCACTTATTATACATTTTTGCAGGGAATGTCCTAATGAGTTTGAGTCCCACAATGGGGAGTGACGTCATCAAGTTGGGATTCGTGATGTCGGTGGCTTGCAGTTTCCCCTTAATTATTTTCCCCTGTCGCGCCAGCCTCTACTCATTCCTATATAGAAAAGTAAGTTTTCTAAGAGTTCTGAAGTTCATAGTTAAGAAACACAGGTAGAGCTACAAAAAATTGAGACCTCATGTTGGATCAGTAGTTTTTGTGATTATCACTTTCAAACAAAAAAACATTAAAGATTTATAATATTTGTATAAACTTAATTTTGTACCTGGGATGAATTTCTTGTACTTGTAATTTTCTGCTATATTCAATGCTCTAATCTTATACCTGGACATACAGCATTGCGCTAATAGATTTTTTATTTAAGGTACATCCCTCCCACCACGACCATATTATTAACCATTCTATACCAGAGAGCACATTCCGGTGTATTACAGTTGCGATAATAGCCGTGTCGCTATTCATAAGTCTTCTGCTACCGAATATAGAATTGGTTTTGGGTTTAGTCGGGTCGACGATAGGTGTTCTAGTATGTGTCGTGTTCCCAGCAGCTTGCTTCATCAATGTGACATTTAAGAACACCAATGAGAGGGTTTTGGCTAAGGTATCTAATTTAAATAAAACACTTTAACGGTTTTAAGCGAGGTATATTAGTTAAACTTATTTGAAAATGATTTTTAACTTCGGCCCGACGTTTCGGATGCTTTGCAGCAGCCGTGGTCACGGGGCGAAGTAGTGTAGTTGTGTTCGCCCCATGCCCCACGAGGGGAAACGGAATATCACACAAAAAAAAACGAACTAAAATAAGCTTAATATTACTTTACATATTTCTTGCTAAATTAGTATGTTCAAAGCCGTTGAGCTGTTTATTACATATGTAGTCCATTCACGGGACTTTTATAATGTATTTTTGATGTAATTTAAATAAAAGTTATAGTTTCTCTATGAAAAGGGCCTCAGATAGTCTCAATTAGTATAGAAAGATATACAAATGTGTTATAATTAAATCTGAAAATTTTCTACTTTCAGTTTACCGTGGTCTTGGGATTAATTATCCTAGTGCTTGGCACATATGCAAACTTAGAAGCGGCAGAAAATACTAGAGACAAATACGATGAGAAATATATCACCCAGGAAAAAATTGACAAGATCGTCGAAGACTTCTTTGAGAAAATGGAAAAGACGGAGGGTATGAGTAACCATTACTATCTTATATGTATGATAAAATTTGTGCTAACAGTTGTATTTCTTCTAGGTATACCAAAACCTCACATTATCGAACCGAAAAAAGAAAATGCTGAAGTTCAAAATCAAGTAAAAGATTCTGTTGCACTGCCACCTAATCCTGTTCCACCTGAATCACAGTCAAATGAAAAAAACCCACCAAAAGAAGCCCCTATTCCTGTAGATAAAAAAGACATTATACCCGACGATAAAGAAAAGGAAATAAATAAAAAAGCGTCGGATGAACAACAAAATGGCCAAACTATTTTGAATCAAGTTATTCCTAATGCTCAACCAAAACCGAACGTAGCAAACGGGGCAAAAGTTAATAAAGTCGAGGAAAAAGCGAAAGAAGAAATAAAATCGCGCCAAGAGAAAATAGATATGATTAAACACAAACAACTTATGGAAACTATAAAACAGCACGGACAAGAACAAAAAGAATTGATCAAAGAACAAAAAGAAATCTTGGACGAGCTGAAAAAGACCAAGGACGAAATGGAAAAAAATAAAAAAGATCTAGATAGTGAAGAAGCCAAGAAAATAGCTGTAGAAAGTATTCAAAAAATTGCCAATATCGCTATAAAAAGTTTAACAGGAGTATCGGACAAGCCCTTGGATCAGGTTAATGGGGGAAAAATATCTGACCAAGCACAACCCATTAAAACATTAGAAGAAAGCGTTATAAATGAAATCGTTAAAAATACCGCAGAAAAATTGGAGGTGATAAAGCAAAAAGAAACTTCCAATGCAAAAATCAACAAGAAAGAGAAAGAAAACATAGAAAACCAGAATAAACTTGTTGAAAGTATAGACAAAATCGGTAATGATATTCCTGATACTCCAATTAAACTACATGCACAACCGAGAATAGAAGTAAAACTGGACGATAAAAAAGATGAAGGTTTAAATTTACCAGAGGTTAAAAATATTCAAGAACCCGCCTTACCTATTAATAACGTTGTTCCAGCACAATATCCAAAAGCAAACGAAATAATAGACAGTAAAATTGCAGAGAAGCCAAAACACGAGCATTCAGCAGACGAGCCGCAATCCTACAAACGAGGAGAAGATCAACAGCTACCAAAGAAAGTCGCTAACACAGTTGGCAACGTCCCGCTTGCGATTGCTCTGAGTGAAAGCTCTAAGATAAAAGAAAAGCAAATGAGATTAGAAGAAAAATCGATAATCAATACAAATTTAGAAAACGAGGCCATCAGACAAAAACGCGAAGTCGTAGATTGTACAGAGAAAACCATTTTGAAGGCAGAAGATAAACAGATATGTGAAAATCTAGTTAACAAACCGGAAGCAAAATATACGGATGATTTGTTACCACAAGTCGATTTGGACGATGTATTATCGAAAAATGCACCCGTACAAGCCATACATCACATGAGGTCTCTGAAGAGTTATGACGAAAGAGGGGTTTGAAACAGGGATTTTATACTATTTTCTACGCCTCGAACTTACGAAATTAACAAGTATTACGTACTGTGTAATATTTATTTATAGCGATGGGCGTTTTATTAGTGAGCTAGATTATAGAGTACTTTGCATTTTCATAAAATAAGCTTTCACGAGTGTATCAACTCCTATATTCAACGAGATGGTAGAAAAAATGGCATGCCTTCTAACATATTTAAACGTTAAATCATGTCTATAGTTTACGCGAGTAGGACACATTTAAATAAAACACTTTAACGGTTTAAAACGCGATAAACCACGTGGCACGTGGATGTGGCAGCCGTGGTCACGGCTGCTGCAAAGCATCCGAAACGTCGGGCCCGAAGTTTAAATCATTTTCAAATAAGTTTAACTAATATTCAAACGTTATTTTCGTAACTTTTTAGTATGTGCGTCAATTAACGACATACTTCTACTTTTGAAACTTTACTATTTTTCACATCTCATAAAAATCGTTTTTAAATTGTTTAGAGCAACAGCACGGAACTCTGTGGATGACTGTTCAAGTCCTGCCCGTGTCGTAATTTTTTAAAATTTAAAATCGATTTTAATTGACATATCTTTGAGTTTAACAATAAAAGCGTCAATTATGTTTTGTGGACATAATTTCTTATTTTTAAGTATTTATTATTCTTACATTGTGTTATTTGAGTTATAAAGGAGTTGATACTACGTCAAAACCTGTGATCTCATTTACATCGTTAACAATGATCATTTAACTTTTTGTCCTGTTTTAGTTAAGTATGTATGTGATTGATATTGACTGAGGATGTGCTAATAAAGTATTTTAATATTTATTTAACTACGTGTTGTTTTTTACATATGTAAAAAATATTTAATATATTATTATATATATATATATATATATATAATATATATATATATATATATATATATATATGATAATTTCTTCCTTCAGCCGTGGAGCAGAAATTGCTTCTTACTAAAATCAAAACTGAAACACCTTCGAGAGGGCAGCACCGAACTCTATACAAAAATCCAACAAAGTGCTAATCTTATGTTCATTTGAAAAACTTCCCTCCATTTATGATTGTATCCTTCTATATGTCTAATATTGCAATTATTATATGAGGCCGCTAGAGGCAGAGTGGCCTAATAACAAAAAACATGACATTATTCATATTATTTTATTGAAGAATAGATCATTGTATTTGGTCATTGAGAGGGCCAATGGAATAAAAGTCAAGAAATTACATATTAGTTATTTATAAATGCAAAACGATCAACATTATAAAAATTACGTACAACACTATATTAATTAATTAAACTATTACCATAAACTTAAAATTATGCTTAAACATCTTGATTCTTCTCTGCTCCCTTCCGAGATCTGACAATAAAAAGAGTGACTTAAAGAAACAAACAGGAAAATCGTCTTAGATTTACATCATCATTCTATATGTCATTAAAGCAAAAACAAATTTATGTAAAATAAACAAAAAATAAATTGTTTGGTCGCCTGTCGTGGGTGCAATACCATGTTTCTAATCAATTTATATTTTTTCTGAAACCCGTTGGACTTCGTCTGGAACATCTGGACATTAAACAGGTGGTAGGAATATCGATATTCCGTCCAGGTCATGAACCACAATCCACAGATGGAAAACCCGTGTATTTAAATCATGTTTTTGCTTCAGGTGGACTTCCGAATATGTAAAGCCAAATTAAATATTTCACCTTCAATCAAGTGAGCATTGAGTTCTTTGTGGTATTTTCTATGATAGAGGCTTGAAATACCTTTTGCCAACTTCTGGTGTACTAGTCGCAGACTGCGTGGATGTTCTACGCGTACTGCGTCGTGCCGGCGTACTAACGCCTACTTCTGATGCCGGTGACCCGGGGTTGCTCTCCGTTTCGCCTTTCTATTCATAAAAATAGTACATATGAAAGTAAAACATACACTAGAACAAAATATAGCTGTGGTAGCAAATTTTTTCACGTGGAGAAGTTATTATGGACATCAAATATTGTTTTGCAAACCCCATTATCGTTATAATAGCTATTACCCACGACCACGTCCCGTTGTTCTTGCAAGTTAATCTTAATAGATAGACAATTAATGTACCTCTCCATTTTTTAGATTACATAAAGGGAAATCACTTTTGGATACATATTTTTTGGGTATCTCGTACCATTTACGCAACGGAACCTCATTAAAGATGAACAATTTTCCCCGTTTCTTACATAACTCCTATTGCTTCCACGCTCCTATTTATCACAGCGTGATGTTTTATAGCTTAAAGCCTTCCGGTGAATTCTCTAACCACGACTAAAATATTTTTTCAATTCGAACTAGTTCCTGAGATTATCGCGTTGAAACACATATATGTTAAAAAATTCAAAAGAGTTGTAAAATTGAAATGTAGGACTAACCCTAATATCAGTACTGGTCCGCCGTCCTTTTGGCGTGTGCAGCGCTTGAACAGCACGCGTGAACGAAGCACGACGACCACGAGTGGGCGTGGACATTGGTGACTCCATTTCCGATTGCACTCCTAGATACAAAAGAACACTGTAGCCTTAGCTCTTAATAAAAATGTACATCGTCGTTTAGTATTGTTATTAAAAGACGGGTTTGGTGTGGTTTGTATATCAATTCCTATTTTTATATACATGGCAGTAGTAACGCCAATATAAGGTATTAGCCGGTAATTCCTGCGTTGGAGTGACGAAACACCGACCTATAGATAGTTAATCTTTAAGGCGTAAATTTAATTTTCGGATAAGAACCAGTACCTAACCTAAATATGTCAATTATATATATTAAAATTTTCAAACAATCTATTTTATGATATAATTGTAAACAGTACACCTACAATAAAGATTGTTGTTTTTCTTTTTGACGTCTTGTATATGTCTACCTTCTATAATGTACAGTGGTTACGCTATATAAACTGTCTTACCGACGACTACATCAACAGAAGCGCTGCGCCCAATCTTAGCCGCTCTCACAACTTTCGTCTCTGAAGAGGCTCGCCTTGCTATATTTCAATTACAATATTTATTAGTGCACCTTATTAAGTTTCTAATAAAATAATTTTACTAATTAAAGCCAGTGACAGTTCGAAGTGACACATATTAATACTTAATTATAAATGCTAGAAAGTAAGGTTGTAGTAGGTTGCAAAGGATCGTGCATTATAATTTCATTAAATCTCATAATCTACACAAAAATAAACAAGTCAAGATAGAAGTCAGTGATTAAATATCTTAATTTTTTCCTAATTTAGTAGTGCGGCTCGAAGGACCAAAATGTTATGTTAAATGTTACTAATTATGCAATAAGCTTACCTCGCATTCTGGTAGCCGTCGAGTGAAGAGGAAATATCCCATACGGGTATTCATCGGGATCTCGAGTGCCTAATATTAGCATATGCGGTTATTAAACATGCAGTACCTAATAGCTATAATGTAAATCTATAAGTTGCAAGCTTCAAATGCTTAGACATGATATGAATCTTCCTATAAGGATGTGATATTAAACGCAAGAGGTTACGGGGCTACTACATCAATAAGTAATATGTTTTTTTGCAGTAATTCAAAAATATTTTACTGATCCTCATACGAATGTCACTTTTAAATGTTAATTAATATGTTCATCCAAAATGTGTGAGAAAATATTGTTAAAATACTGTTAAAAATAAACTAACTGCTGCTGTCGTTGATAGAGTAACATTTTTGTTGATCGATAGGACATGAGTAACGAAAATAATGTAATTTACGATATTTCAGACATTAACTCAGGCTAAGAAGCAATATATTTATATTTCAGGTTATGAACACATTATACTGTTAAGTCGAATTAAATTCTACTGTCACTTCTTGTAAGTCTTGTATGGATTAGTCATTACAAGGTAATTGCGCGAAGGCATGCATTCTGCAAAGCGAGCTTCGCTTGTCAATTAGACCATTATTTAACATGACAGTATTAAACATACTCGTAATTAAGCACTTGGATGTAGCATGCATTGTATGAAAGTAAATAGCTGAAAAATGTCTAAGTAGCAAGCGCTAGCGTAATCTTTGCGATTCATTCAGGTATTTTTTCTAGGAGTATACAATCAATGTACGCCATACCTTCGAAGTCCGCCTTATCAAGTAGTTCAACACGCTCCATAAAGGACTCTTTGGAACTCTCATCGTACGATGTTAGTGGGGTCGTTGACCTTGCTGGCGATTTTGGAGACAATAGGGTTGACCGTTCGAGTAGAGCTTTCTGATGGCGCGTTACTCTGAAACATAGATAGAGGGAGTGAGTATAAAAGTCCCATCACAGATTAACATTTTATAAAAACAATGATTTTCAATTAATTTTATATTCAATTTATTTATTCAAGAACAATCGCATAGGCAATAAAAAATCAAAATGAGGGAAGACTCGAAGGACCAGCTATTATCAATAACGTGCTGAGCAACTCACCGTCTCGAAGTAGAATAGTCATCGATTTGTTGACTCTTCTCCTCAACAGAGGTTTCGGGTATCACAGTTAGTTCGGGTTTAGCGATGAATGTTTTGCGTCCCTTTCTGACGCTCTTTTCTTCATCGCTCGCTTTACTTTGTGTAGATTTTAAGGAAACATCTGATGCAACGCTGGCTGTATCGTCGTCTTTTTTGCTGGTAGCGCGGGTCCGACGTCGTGGTGTAAGTTCTATCAAGGTTTAAAATATCAGAGTAACGATATTAGTCTAATATAAATAACTTCGTCTATTACTTTTATTTTAGTCACTTTGTTTCACGATAAACCAAGAATTAAGTGCCCAAATAAGACATAATATTACGTTATGTCTTATATTATCGTCCGTGTGGTGCCGGATCGTCCGTGTGGTGCCGGATCGTCCGTGTGGTGCCGGATTAAGAATAGTACCCCCCCATATCCTCCCGTGGGTGTCGTAAGAGGCGACTAAGGGATAAAAAACCGATGAACGGGCAGCAGCGTTCATTCGCGGTTCAACCATCCAACTGCGCTCGCCAACCCGTCTGCCAAGCGTGGCGAGTATTGGCATATACCCCCCCCAAAAATGGACAGTATGACCAGCACCAGGCCCCCAGTCCCCGGCAGCCCCGTAAGTCCTGGCTACGGTAGCGGCCATGGTAACTGCGGGGCAGGGGGTGCTAAGAATCACCGGCAGAGATCCGGCTACCTTTTCCGACGACCATTGGCCCTGATAACATACAATGCACGCACTTTGAGGATGGACGAAAAGATTGTCGAGCTGGAAGAAGAACTGAATAGGTTGCGGTGGGACATAATAGGGTTATCGGAGGTCCGACGAGAGGGCGAGGACACGATGACCTTGGAGTCCGGCAACATGTTCTTCTACCGAGAGGGAGGACAGCAGTCCCAAGGCGGTGTCGGGTTCATAGTCCACAGATCCCTTGTCAACAACATAGAGGTGGTCGAAAGTGTGTCGAACAGGGTGGCGTACCTTATACTCAGAATATCTCAAAGATATTCGCTGAAGGTCATACAGGTATACGCCCCGACCTCGACGCACTCAGATGACGAAGTAGAAGTTATGTATGAGGACATAAGTAGAGCCATGCATTCTTCGAAAACACACTTCACTGTTGTGATGGGGGACTTCAACGCAAAGTTAGGGAAGAGAGGCGAAGATGAGTTGAAGGTGGGAACCTTTGGCTATGGGCACAGAAATCCTAGGGGACAGAGGCTGGCCGAATTCTTGGAGAAGGAAGGTCTTTACATGATGAATTCCTTCTACCAAAAGCCGCCGCAAAGGAAGTGGACCTGGATGAGCCCCGATGGAAAGACGAAAAATGAGATTGACTTCATCATGTCCACTAAGAGACATATATTCAACGACGTCTCGGTGATTCACAAGGTGAAAACCGGAAGTGATCATCGCATGGTACGGGCCTCGTTGAATATAGATATCAAAGCCGAGAAGTCTAGGCTGATGAAGTCTACCCTCAGACCGTCTCGTACCCAAGTCAATGATCCCGAGAGCTTTCAACTCGAATTACGCAATCGTTTCTCGTGCCTGGAAAACTGCGCGTCAGTGGACGAGCTTAACGATGGGCTTGTAAAAACTATCCATGCGGTGGGCTCAAAATACTTTAAGTCCCATAGCAAGGAAAGACCGGAAAAACTTTCAGGCGTAACATTGAAACTGATGGCTGAAAGGCGATCAATATCAGTCCAAAACCCCGATGAAGCTGAGTCATATAGGCAGCTCAATAGACAAATATCGAAATCTTTGAGGCGTGATATCCGCTCCTTTAATACTAAACGTATTGAGGAAGCGGTACGGCGTAACAAAGGCGCGAAGGTCTTTGCAAGAGATACGTCTATTGGGCAAAGCCGGCTGACTCGGCTAAAGAAGGAGGATGGTATTGTAGTTAGCTCCACGCCAGAAGTCCTGAAAGAGGTCGAAAAGTTTTACGAGCAACTTTACTCGTCGGTTGCTAAGCCCGTCGTGAGCACGGCGACAGACCCCAGAGCCAAACTTACCCGACACTACACCGAAGACATCCCGGACATCAGCCTATACGAGATTAGGATGGCCCTAAAACAGCTTAAGAACAATAAGGCACCGGGTGAGGACGGAATCACCTCGGAGCTACTGAGAGCTGGCGGTACACCAGTTCTCAGATTGCTTAAGAGGCTTTTTACCTCCACCTTGCTCAAAGGCACAACGCCGGAGGCATGGAGCAGAAGCGTAGTGGTCCTGTTCTTCAAAAAAGGTGACAAATCCCTCCTGAAGAACTACAGACCGATCTCGCTTCTGAGCCATGTCTACAAGCTGTTCTCTAGGGTCATCACGAATCGTCTCGAACGTAGGCTCGATGAATTCCAGCCACCCGAACAAGCCGGTTTCCGAAAAGGCTACAGCACCATGGACCACATACACACGGTGCGGCAGGTGATACAGAAAACCGAAGAGTATAACCTGCCATTATGCTTAGCGTTTGTGGACTATGAGAAGGCCTTTGATTCGATCGAGACCTGGGCCGTGTTTAAATCTCTACAGAGGTGTCGCATCGATTATCGATACGTCGAGGTGTTGAGGTGCTTGTATAAGAACGCCAATATGTCAGTCCGAGTACAAGATCGGTGTACGAAGGCCATCCCAGTGCAGCGCGGTGTTCGGCAAGGTGATGTTGTCTCACCAAAACTTTTTACCGCTGCTCTGGAAGACGCTTTCAAGCTCCTAGAATGGAAAGGACTGGGCATCAACATTAACGGCGAGTACCTCACCCATTTGCGTTTTGCCGACGATATTGTGATCATGGCACAGTCTTTGGGGGATCTAAACACAATGCTCGAAGACCTCAACAGTGTTTCCAAGCAGGTAGGCCTGAGTATGAACATGGACAAGACAAAAATAATGTCGAACGCCCATGTAGTGCCTACCTCTGTATCTATTGGAAGCACTGTACTCGAAGTTGTTGACGAATACGTCTACCTGGGTCAAGTAATACAATTAGGTAGATCCAACTCCGAGAAAGAGGTCAATCGTCGAATCCGACTCGGCTGGGCAGCGTTCGGGAAACTAGACAAAGTCTTTTCATCCCGTATACCTCAGTGCCTGAAAACTAAAGTGTTCCAGCAGTGTGTGTTACCAGTGATGACGTACGGTACCGAAACATGGTCTCCTACCGCGAGCATGGTGCACAGACTACGCGTCGCTCAGCGTGCGATGGAAAGGGCTATGCTCGGAGTTACCCTGCGCGATCGAATCAGGAATGAGGAGATCCGTAGAAAAACTAAAGTCACTGACATAGCCCATCGAATTGGCAAGCTGAAGTGGCAGTGGGCTGGGCACATCGCTCGAAGAACTGACGGCCGTTGGGGCAAAAAGGTTCTGGAGTGGAGACCACGTACCGGACGTCGAAAACCTGGACGACCTCCTACCAGGTGGACCGACGACCTGGTCAAGGTAGCGGGGAAACGCTGGATTCAACTGGCGAACGACCGGTCGTACTGGAAGTCTATGGGGGAGGCCTATGTCCAGCAGTGGACGCTGAACGGCTGAATCGAATCGATGTCTTATATGGGCACTTTGAATTTCTTTTGATATTACAACTAACATTCATATTGATGAATAAAGTAAATATGAGATTTTGGCTTGAGTAAATATGTCACATAGCTGACATATTAACATAAAAGTTTTTACCTTCTAACGGCATCAAGCTATCATCCTTTTCTGACATTTCCTTTGATGCTCGCCTTGTTAAAATTCTTCTAACTTCAGTGTTCGGAGTCGTAGATCGCCTTCTTGTCCTGGGTGATGCCGTTTCTGGCGTTTCTGGTATGACATCTGATTTCTCAGACATAGACTGAGCTATCTTACGCGGTGTATTTACAACTTCTTCTTCTTTCTTTGAAGATTGTCTTCTAGAACGAGTAGGCGTATCTTCTACGTCTACGTCAGACTTATTTGATGCCGTCGATTTTCGCCTTCTTGTACGCGGTGTTGATAATTCTACTTCCGGTTTAATTGATTTTTCTATAGCGATTTCTTTATTTTGTACTTTTTCTAACTCTGGCGTCTTTTCGTTAGCTTCTTTAGAATTATCTATAGTTTCAGTTATATCTTGTTTTACTTCAGACTTACTAGATTGTCTTTCAAGTTCCTGTACTGTCAATTCTACTGATGGTGGTGTGGCACTGATTATTTCTTCGCCTTGTTTATGATCTTCTCCTATCACTGACATTTGTTTACTAGCTTGATCTTTTTCTTGAGGAGTCTGGTTTTCATTTTCATTAGAACAACTTGGTGTAGCTCTATCTAAAATTGAATTGGTTGTTACATTATTCTCTATGTCCATATTTTGTACTGGTTTCTCATCTGATGCATCATTAAGAGAGATTTTAGGATCTTTCTCACTTTCACAATCCTTATTTTCATTAGCATTTATTACATTCTCATCAACTAAAGGCACATGAGTTTCAATTGAAGTAACATCTGTATCTTGTACTTTACTTTCTTTACTCTGAACTTCAATATCTTTTCTTGTACCTTTATCAGTAATAACAGATTCAAAGTTGGCTCTATCCATCGCTTCTTGAGGTTCAATTTCATTAGGCTTAGATAGAGCATCAGCATTTTCTTCTACTTGAGTACCATGATCTAAAAGAGAAGAATATACTGGATTAAATTATATATTTAAATAGAACAATTATTAAAAAGCATCATTATAGAAAAAGTGATAGGTAACATATAATAACAACACAGCATAAGCTAGGTCAATGAAATCTGTCTATCGGTATAAAGATCGTGATTTTATACATACACTTATTTTGGAAAAAGAAAGGTCTTGGAAATTTAATGGATCCTGTCATGGTCTTTTGGCTCGTTAAGAGTCGAGATCATATTAATAGCCTAATGCGTTAGACAATTCGAAAAAAATCTTAATTTGTTTTTGTATTCTTAACTACTAATAAAACTATCTATATAGTCAAAGTGTTACTTTGACTATATGGATAGTTATATAATATATAATAATATATAGCTATATAGGTGATAAAAAATTGTTTAGAAGCTCAATAACTTTTCTGTCAGACTTCGCATATAATTGCCTATTTTCAAAGCACCTTATACTTAAGTCACTTTTCAACGCGGTCGATGTCGCTGATAGTCTATTAACTAAAGCCTCAAACATACCTTGGCGGCTTTCACAACTGCCATCATTCTGATTTGTGGCCGATTCATCTGACAAATGTAGACGTATAGATTCAGAGTCAAGATTGGAATTATCATCAGTCATTATAGACAAATGTGCTTGATTCAATGGATCGTTAGACACCTCTACTGATTCAGATATTTCAGTCGATTTAATTTCTGTAGCCAGTTCTACATTTACTGCGGCGACATTTGGCGCTCCTTCAATTGTTTGCTCGCTCTCTATTTGTTGATCTTGCTCGATAACTTCCTCATCTTGCTCGATTTCAGGTTGTTCATCAACTTGCAATTCTAAATCTGACTCAGAGTCATTTACTGAGATAACTTCGCTTGAATTACTTTCGCTGGTCTCCTAAAAAAAAAAATTATTCATTCACTCTGTGAGAAGATAAAAATAAATACTATTTTATGTTACTTAGTTACTTACATCTTCTGAGTCTTCCTCTTCCCCCGCTTCTTCATCCTCTTCCTCTTCATTTTCAGACTCTTCCGCTGACTCTACCTCGACCACTTCGTTTCCAGAATCAGTTTCACCACGACAATCGTCATCCGACATATCCCCTTCAATCTCATTGATCTCTCTTTCAATTTCAACAATTTTTTCTTTCTCCTTCTGTATAACGTTCGCTGCCTCGTCCGTCTTCCAATCTTTGTCTATTTCAATTTCACTATCACTAGTCATTAAACTGGATTGATTATGATTGCCTAACACACCGTTATCTTCTAAAACTGATTTGCCCGTTTCGGTTTCGTTCAGATGAACTTTAGTTGTAATTGGTTCTACTCTATTTTCTTTTGTACCGCTTATGTCTATAGAACTTTCGTAACTATGCAGCACAGATTTCGCAAAATCTTCATTGGAAGTTGTGTACATGGGCATGGCAGCACTTTCATTCTTAATTTCTTCTTGTGAAGCGGAATCATCAGCTATACTACTTTGATAACTGTGCAAGACTGATTTTTCAGTGTAAACTTCATGTACGCTAAAGGTTGACAACTTCACTTCTCTCGTTGAACTGTCATCTGCGATTTTCTCTGTAGTGACAGAAATACTTTCATGCGAGCTCTGTAGTATAGATTTATTCACTATCGGAGAAAAAGTGACATCCATAAGGCTTGATATTTGTTTTGAAGTTTTCATTGGGGTACATTCTATTACGCTTTCAGAAGTTTCCGGAGTGCTTTCAGTTTCCATTTTTTCTACTTGTTTTGTCTTGGAGAATGTATTCGCCTCAAGGACTATTCTGGAAAGTGATTTCTTATTCTTCGTTACGTTTTCTGTTTTTGGTGACATAAGTTTTTCGGGAGTTTTCGAACGGCTCCTGAAATTTAAAATAAACGTTACAAATGGTCGTAATGGATCGTAAACTATATATATTTTTGCTAGAAATCAAAGATCCAATAAGATAACAAGTTACCGAAGGTTTCTTGGACTCTCTTTTACGCTTTGTTCTATCTGTACTTCTACTTCTGGCGTGCGAGAGCGACTCCTGAAATTTTTTTGCCAAAAATAAGGATTAAAGGATCGAATCTATGGATTCGTAAGTACTACATTATTACGGAATATAGTTGGAATACCTTAAACTTCTACGGGTTGGCAAAGCTAGCGAATCTTGCTTAGTTGGAGACTCTGCGATGACTTCGAGACGAGGTGATTCTGCCATTTTTGATACACGTTCTGGCGTACGAGACCTATTTCTAAAATAGAAATTCAATGTTAAAATTATAAAAAACGAAGAAAGTTATTCCTGCTTAAATTACTATTACATGTCTTTCACTTGATGGAAGGTGAATACCTTAGCCATACTTCATCTCAACAAGATGTACTGTCGGCCAAAATAGCCTTTGGATATTCGAAAATTCATATACTGAAACCGAAACTCGATTAAACGTCATGGCTTTTATCTTTATATGGTGGTTTCCCCTTACGGAATTTCGATAATCCTACCACCCATTTAATAGCCAGATTTCCAGACGAAGTCCGAAAAATTATAAATTTATTAGAAACACGTTGGTGCCCGGTTGGGATCGATCGACGACTCGTTGATTGTTAGCCAATATAACTTTGCTATCATTAGACCAATGAGCCCGTCAACGACACAAACAATAAGATCTCTCTGTTGTTTGTGAATTCTATCAAAATAATTCAAGAATCTATATTTTTATACACAATATACCATTGTGACAGTTCTTAGTAGCCCACAAAACTATTAACATGGCACATTATTTCTTAATAAGATGTGTTAACATATACCTTATTGATGCAGCTATAGACACCACAGTGGCGGTTGGGTGGGGGTCAGTTTCCAATTCCAATTTAGGCATTTCCGGAATGGCCGGGAGTGGGGATGTTCTTGGACTGATCTCGGGTGTGCGCGATCGACTCCTGGTAAATAACATTTAAACAAGTAAATACGCTATTACTTTAAAGTTTCTAAATTAACTTTGTGAACTATTCTTATAAGTAACTTTAACTTGTTTAGCCTCTATAGTAGTATATAGCAATAACAAAAAGTTTTGTCAATAAACTAAACAGTTTTATTTGTGTAGAATACAATAGAATCCTTTATTGTACAGCTAAGTCGTTGCTTCTAGTTGGGACACGTACAAAAGAAAGACACATTTCTGTGTCCGTTTTAATATTTTAAAATTTTCAAACAATGAGGCCACAGGGAATTTGATTTTTATCTGAATAAGAAAAATAAGTTTACCGAGTGACTCTTGTATTGCGAAGGGGTGTCATCACAACGGGGGAGTCTTGGCGTTCGGGGGTTCCACTGCGGCTTCTGTAAATTTAATTCACCGTGTTATATGTAACAAAAAAAGGAAACACGACATCGTACAAATAATTTACTTGACTGTTATTAACTGTGTGTGGTTGAATTAAAGTCATCAGGAAACTACCGGAATCATTGTAAACCTAGTTAAATAAATATAAGAGAAAAGAAAAAGTCTAGAAGGAGAAGATATAAGAGAAGAGAAGAAATTCATACTATATAGCATATTGCTTAAATGGAATTTCAGTTCTTTGATAAATTTTAGGAACTCATTAACTTAGGAACAAATACGCTTACTAAATGCTGCTTAAGACTAACTTTTACCTAGCTTAGACTTTTTTAATTAACTTTTCTTGCATACACCGTAAGCACCCTGCATTTTCGAGCTTAACACATAGAACTCAAAGTTTAATGTACAGTACAAGAAAATTAAGGAATTGAAACATATTGGTAAATAAGAATACCTGTTAAATATAGGCGTACTCTCACTAACAGTACGTATGCTACGCCTGCCCTTGGGAGTTTTCGGAGCGCAGCTCAACTCCACTGTAGTTTCATACACGGTATCTTCCGTCCTTCTTGCATCTGACCTCGATCGTATTTCCATCTCGCTCCTTCCTGTGTCGAGACGGTTTGTTTCATAATCAACTTCTTCGGGTTCGGGCGTCATTGTAGTTCGTCTTTCTCCGGAATACCTCGGGTTAATGAGAGTGATGGGTATATCGGCAATACTTTCAATGGATGCGTTGGGGTCTTCCGTGAGGCTACTGTTTGCTGATGTTGATAGCGATCTTCTGAAAATTTTACGGTTTAAAACGCGATACATACATCTGACGTTTTTGATGCTTTGTATCAGCTGTGGTTACGAAAAGCTACCCTAAGTCAATTTTTGTTTTAAGTGTTTTATTAGATGCGTACGATTCCTGTAAACTACAGACAATACTTAATTGAAAATCTTTGGAAGTATTTGACAATTTGTGCTATTTACCAGCACGTAACCACTTAAATACAAGAGCACATTGTCTATATCGATCAATCTGATTATAAGCAAAATACCTGGCCTTAACAGTGTCCTTGTAAGATTTTCTTGAAGGAATCCTCTCAACAGCCAATTTCTTTGGTGGCGATTCCATGGTATTATCATGTTCTGGCACCTGCGAGCACATTTTATATTTTGAGTTAACAACTGCTACGTAATATCTATCAAGGATGGGACTTCCTAGAAGATATAATTATTTTAATTCCTATAATTATTTTTATATGAACCTGATCAACTGTCTTTATCTAGTTCTTTACATAGAAAGGGGGCAGGTAGTGTAAATATTTAATCTTTTTGTTTTTGGTTACAAATTTTAAAAATTAAAGAAGGAATTCTAAAGTAGATCTAGAAAAGTAGAAAATCATACGGACAGATACAGCAAGCGCGGAAGAGAGTGAGTTGAGAGACATATTTTTATAACAGGCAGACGAGCACGGATTCACTTGATGGAACGTGTATAGGATATTTCCCAGTCATATAACGTTTCAAGAAGAAGCGCTATTTTGCGTTCGACATTCAGAATTAGTATAATTAGATTTAAATAAAACAAATAAGTTTAACTAATACATATCGCGTTTTAAACCGTTAACGTGTTTTATTTCAATGTGTACTACTCGCGTAAACTACAGACGGTATATAATTAGATTTTCATTTTTAGCTAATTCATGAAGAGACATTTCGATAATATTATAACTTGAAATGCTGCTAACAAAGGAGTAAATGTAATAGACTATATTTTATTAGCCATAGGTTCTGCGGTTAGAAAGTCTACAGTACTTACGTCTTGTCCATGGTCCGTAGTGTCATGAGACGGTTGGGCGTTCGCAGTCACTGCGACTGGTGATGGAATCGGACCCAAATCGGTGGGTGTTGGTATCGTGAACCGTAAATGTCTGTAAATGTTAACGTTGTTTCATAAGTGCAATTTGTGAAAGCCTCCGTAACTCAGATGTGAAACATGTTAAGCGCGAGAGTTTCTAAATTTAAATTAAGGCGATCCAAATGTATGAGTTAAACGAATAATGGCCAAATCGTACGCGACGGCGACCAGACATGTGTTATATATATAAAAAAAAATCGCATTTTTTCTATAAAAATAATAATATCTTATAATAAAGCCAGGAAAAAAGATATGGATTTGTTTTTCCAAATATAGTATTTCTTAGTCTGTGTTTAGAAAGTATCGTTACATAACGTTAATATCGTTCAGTATACAATTATTTATATTTATGTATTGTTTTTTAAATGTAAATAGCATGTGAAAGTCACAGACGCGGTGTCGATTGACATTTGATCACTGAGTAACAACTGACCGCCTTGGCTTTGATACGTACTTTGTTTAAAAACTTCTTTAATTTACTTTCCCATAAACTCATTCTGCTTTTTACATAACCCCATTTATATAAAAAAAAAACTTGTTACCATTCTCATTTCTGGCGTTGAAACAAATGTAATTAAACTTATTTATTGCTTCTAACCTTAAAAGTATTTTTGACTATAATTAATTTGTTAAAAGGCTTTTAAATTTATTACTCGCGAACAATTTTATTAGGTCTATATAATTTTGGCCATTGTTCAAAAAAATGTAAAAGCTTACTTATTTGTGGAGTCACTGTAGTGCGTATGATTACTAGCCGTTTCCATTTCATCATCGCTCTCAGCTAGGTAACGCGAATCCATTGGCGAGGCTACTTCTCTTTCTGGATAGTCTAGTCGGCGTGTCTGTAAAATATTTATTGGAACATTTCGTAGATTAAGAGTTCAATTATAAAGAGATAGGGAGAAAAACGGGAAGATTGTTAAATTGTGTCGGATTTAGTTTTTGTAATGGTAACAAAAAAATGGGTTCGATTCCTACAGGGTCCAACATTTTTCTTATCGTTTTATAATTACTTTGAAACGTGTTTAAACTTTGTTTAGATGAAAAAGCCGTGAAGTTCAATCGCATTTCGGTTTCAGTCTGTGGGTTTCCGAATTTCCAAAGCCAAAATGGGACGATAGCGCATCTTTCTTCGAAGTGATGTTACTAGGGTATTTCATCTACCATCAAGCTGTCTTCCTCTATCATAAGATAAAATGTGGCGACACTCATGTATACTCTTACTGTACTTGTATTCTGTCATTCATAATATAAATGAAAAGGATGGAAGATAAAATCTATGGCCATACTCAACACAGTACTCAAAAGTGTTTGAGAAACATACGCCTTATATAATGACTATATCTTGTATCTCTATCACGCGACCGTCATTTATGTATGAGTGATAGAGACAGAAGATAGTTGCTCTTTTTTCTGTACCTTAAGTATACTATGAGGTGTTTCGGGCCTCGTATTCATTTTGTATCTGGGACTCTCCACATCAGGCATATCTAGTAATGTAGCGATCTGCTCGCTTAACTTCTGGCTCACTTTCACAGCGCTGCCGGTTTTGTTCTTGGGCGTTTTTGGTGAGAAATCTAATTTGACACGCTTAGCTGGTGAAGAATCGTTTGTCTTTTGTCCTGATAAGAAGCTGAAAATGGGGAAACAGAATAATTTAAATTTTCATATAAGATACACGTTCCAAAAGTAATTTTTGAACTACTAGCATTTATACAATCATTTATCAGATAAAACAACAGATCAGTTATGCAGAAGAAATAATTATGTCAACCAAATCTAACTGGTCAGAACTCAATACGAGTACATTTTGTTTAGTCTCGATTGGTGTCGCACTTTGCACTTGAAGAGATCAGCATTCTACTTCCGTAATTAATATAATATGTAACTTTATTACGGTTGCTAATTCAGTTTAGTTGCTTAGTTATCTATTTTAAACCAGCATTAACTTTATTTTAATTCTGACTTAGTAAGTATAATACTTCACATTGCTTTGCAAATAATGACCACCAATTTATAATTATTATCTACTTGTATTATGTATATTCACCTCATTGTTTTATATAGTTTCGGAGTGCAAATGAAGGGCGTCTCATCTATAGTCAGGGCTCTTTTCAATCCCTTCTTCGTTTTCGGTTTGTTTATCCATGTTTCGCTTGCGTTTTCAATTGTGTCCTGGAAAAAAATATATGTACTTTGTATTTTTAAATAAAACACTTCAACGGTTTAAGACGCGATATATTAGTTAAACTTATTTAAAAATTATTTTTAACTTCGACCCGACGTTTCGGATGCTTCGCAGCAGCCGTGGCCACGAGTCTCCCCGTGACCACGGCTTTTCAAATAAGTTTAACTAATATATCGCGGTTTAAACAGTCAAAGTGTTTTATTTAAATGTGTAATACTCGCGTAAACGCGACAGTACCTTGGGTTTGTGAAATGTATGCTGAATGTATAAAATTGAGAGTTATTTCTAAGTCGAATTAAAAATAATTAGGATTTACTTACTTGAAATGAATAGACAATATGTATTGTATTTAAATTTAATATTGATAAATGAAAAAACGAGTACATCCATATGATTTGAAACGGAAGTTTTATCAATCTGTAGCTGTGACTTCGTGTTTAATGTCTAAGATAGTAGTAGCGATGTGTATACCACTAAAGCATATATAACTTACCTGTATGAATGAAGATTTATACGTGAACGTATTTTTGGGCGACTTCGGTTTTACATACACAGACATGGGCTTCGGCTTCAAAACTAAAAAAAAATGATTTACATTACAATTGTAAAAATCATTGTTGTAATGAGTATATCTCAACATTAATTTATCGTTATAGGAATAACAAAATATCGACCGGGACACGAACCATGGTCCACAGATAAAAAAGTTATCAAGTTTCGCGATTCGGCTGCCTGTAAATTTTTAATGTCCAAAGACAAAATAGTTTTGGGTATTTCACCTTTAATTGTATGAACCTATATCTTTGTCTTTGCGAGTTTCTTGTACTGGGACATTAAAAAAGGTCTGAAGAACAGTTTTACTTAGGCTTAAGTCTAAAACAATTGACGACTTATTATATGTATCCACCTAGCTACAGTGTATTTTTTCTAACTTAGCAAAGGACCACAACATGGCCGATTTTAAACCATAGAGAACTAGTGATGACCTTTTATAGAGTTGTTGCCACAGATGACTCATGGTCAATTAATTAACTCTATTGTCGACGTTGTGAAACAAAGTAAGAGTCGTGGGCTCGAGGCCTTTTAAAATAATCTGTTCAACTTACCATGTGGTTCAAACTCGGCTGTGACAAATCTGGCAACAGTGTTGGCTATATTAGGCACGGAACCGCACATCACATCGACCAGTACGTCGCGTGCGCTCTCTCGTTCTAGCACATCGTTCATCGATTCCACGGAGCGGCACATTTCCCGCCATTTGCTTTTGGACTTAATCTGTTTGTTGTATTGTTCGGCTTCTAAATATCTGTGAATGTGATTTTCACAGTTTAGAACGCGATATATATAAAATATTTTTATTAAATTATTTTGTATACGACCTCACGTCTCTAAATATGAACAATATGCATATATTTGACATTACTTATATTATGTATGGATGGTCAAGATAGTTTAAAAGTATTTAACGCCGAGCTCCATAGATTTGTATCCAGCTTATTGATTTAGTGATACCAATATAATATCAGCAGGTTATGTATTCGATTCCAAACGGATACAGCACATTCGTCATAGTAGAGTTAGAATTGATATTCCTATTCCAATATCCTTGTCACGAACACCACCGAATAGGATTGCATATTGGTCTGTCCTTCATCACAAGAGATGGCGCTAAATTGCAACTAAGATTGTAGAGGAAATTTTTAAAGAGCAAGGATAACTATTTTAATAATATAAGAATCGATAAATTAAGCCTTATGTAATAAAGAGTTAAAGAGTTAGGTCCTAAGTTATTACCTCGCCTGTTGCAAATAATACATGATGAGTATATCGGACGTTTGTGGTTCGTTGCACTCTCGTAAGTATTTGATATACACGTCCTCTTCCAGCGGCAACAGACTCACTTGTAGTACTTTTGATAGTTGGCCGCTTTTACGGCAACCTTAAAAAGATATAAAGGTATATAAAGGTAGTTAAAAAAAATTGTAAATAAGTTAACTAACACATTCGTGTTTTAAACAGTTAAATGTGTACTAGACACGTAAAATACAAATAATACATACAACCATTTGCGTCATAGCTGTTTCCAATTTGTAGATATTTAGAAGTTAATAATTTAAGTTTAAACCTGTAATGTAAGAAGCATTTACAATGACATTACTAACCTTTAAAGAAGTAATTCAAGACTTGTATCTTGTCGTCTGCGCAGCTCGCATTGTGTACGCACATGCGCACTACGTCCAAGGCTTCGTAGACTAAACCTCTCGCCAAATACAAGTTGCAACAGGACTGCCAATCTTCCAACTTGTCGTGTCCATTTACTGCATTATTGGGGGAATCCCCTTTTTGCTTCAGGTTTTGGATGGGCGCCGGTTTTCTAACGTGTAAGTATTGTAAGGCAGCTTGTGATTTCTTCTGAGCTAGCAACGAGGATAGGACCACTTGGTGTTGCCAGTCGGATAGTGTGTTGCCAGTTAAGCACTGTAGTTGATCAAGGGCGAACTGGAAATGAAAAATTTAAATGTTACGTATGTATAAAAATGTGTGACATATATCAGTGGTAAATTTTTATTTAATTTCCATAAAAGAAATATGAAGGTTGTTTTTACTTAAATAAATAAAGTTTACTTACATGAAAATCTCTGTGATCGAGGTGCCAAAAAGCTTGTGTTGCGCGAACCAGAGTCGTACTGAGACCAAACATAGGCGGAAACTGCATCAGACGACGAATTACCGTCTCATACCTAGAAATATAATATTATTGTGTTAAATATGATATTTAAAAAAATCTTTAACAAGACTAAACCATAGATTAATAATGCTAAAAATACATACTGTGTATCATCATAGAGCATAGAGTAGTCGAACAATAGATACAACAAGAGTGAATGTTTGTGTTCTTCAGAGATATCAGTCAACAGGTAGAGTTTAAGTAGCGCGTATAAAGATGGTGGTGGGTAGAGACCGCCACATTCGCTTCCGGCACGAATCCAAATTCTAAAAAATACAATAGCATTATGAATTATTAAGATCATTTAAGCAGTTAACATTTGTTTAAACTATAATTTAAACAATTAATTATATTTCTTAAAATAACTAATTAATTGTAATATCAGTTCAAACACTGTTAGATATAGAATGAGAAGCAAATATCAGACAACCGAAATAAAAAACCAAGGAGATCAAAATACAAAACTACTTCCATTTCGATCATAACATATAACATTATTTGAAACTATAGATCACGTGACCTTTTTGTCACGTGACTAAATACACGTGAGTGGTCAACTACACTACATTTGATTTAAGACTTTTTCAATCGTTTAGACGCCGTATTATTGTAAGTAAAGAGTCGACTATCATATGCGACAAAAAACTCACTGGTATACAGGTTTTCCTCCAAATTCATTGATAATAAGCTGATCCACATAGAGCAGAGGACTCGGTGTGCAACCTTCTATAGTGTCACCCTGAATACGATGCAACTTCTCGCGACTAGAAAAAAAAAGCTAAAAAGAATCTCTTCACGTAGGTAACTAAGTACACTTATAATCGTCACATCGGTTAAATACTAAAGACCCAAAATTACATTAAGATTTAGTTCTCAAATTAAGGGCGTAAAACGAACGAGAAGAACTGGCAAGAAACTCGCCGCTACTCCTTTTATCACCAAGTTTCATTTTACATGCTATGTTTTATCCTTTACAGTAGTTACTACTGCAATAGATCATGCCAGTTATGTGGATTTTATAAATTTAAAATGAGAAATTCGATATCTATTGTATCTTTCTATCCACAGTACTAGTTCTTACCGCTTTTTATAAATAGTGTACAGTTGTTCAGCGGGATATGGCAACGAGGCGTGAGGATGGTTCCTCTCTGGCAACAAGCCGACTCGCAGGAACCACTGAATCACTTGGAAGTATAATGACACGGTCCCAATGCCCTTGTACTTCTCTTCTATTTCGCTCAGAGCTGGAATTGCATAATTTCCTCATTTATATAACACATTATCATTAGAAACCAAATATAAAATGTACATATTATAAATAATTCATGTAATGGTAGCAATACATGAATTATTTATAATCAATGAGCTGTGGGTTCGATCCTCATTAGGGTCCAAAATGTTTGTAATCAATTTATTAAATACTGTCTATAGTTTACGCGAGTAGTACACATTTAAATAAAACACTTTAACGGTTTAAAACGCGATATATTAGTTAAACTTATTTGGAAATGATTTTTAACTTCGGCCCGACGTTTCGGATGCTTTGATGCTTTGCATGTCTCCCCGTGACCACGGCTGCTGCAAAGCATCCGAAACGTCGGGCCGAAGTTAAAAATCACTTCCAAACAAGTTTAACTAATATATCGCGTTTTAAACCGTTAAAGTGTTTTATTTAAATCAATTTATTATTTATTCTGAAACATTTTGTACTTTGTAAGTTTGTAAGAACTGTCTAAAGACGGTCGACAGCGCGTCTTGTTTAGATGTTACACGCCTGGAGTATTTTGCCCTTCCATTAAGTGAACTCCAGTCTGTCCTTTGCTATCAAAACGTTACGTTAGCTAATATAATAGATCAACTCACCTTCCGGTACTACCAAATTGCAGCATTTCGTCAAGATAGCATCGAGGAGACCAGTTAGTTGACTCAACTGCTGTACACAGTGTTCCAAACACCGTATGACGTTCCTTTACGAAAAATAGTAAATATTTTTTAATTAACTTATATAAATAATTAGAATTATAGATGTATTTATATTTGTTTGTATGACTTAAAGCCGTTTGATCTTTAGTAATCGATGTGACAGAATGAGTCTAAGAAAGATACCAATTTCTGTTTAGTTATTTCGTCGATAAATACCCTAAAAAATCGAAAACTAGACATATTAAAATGTTACCTGTCAGGTAATGTTGCAGAGGTGAATAGCGGTGAAATTAATTCCTTGGCGTTTTCTTTTAGTTCGATTGCGCGTTTCCATGCCCAGTCCACCTGAAATGATAATTTATTTTTGATACGTTAATTACTTGTTTTATAAAGTTTCCGTAGTTTACGCAAGTTGTAAACATTTAAATATAACACTTTTAACGGTTTAAAACGAGAATATTAGTTTAACTTTTTTGATGCCTTGAAGCTGCCGAAATGCGGTTACGGGGGAACTGAAGGTAAAAGGTTTTTAAGTACTACCAATTTTAATATTAGTTCTATTATGATATATCGGATTATCGTAGTGTGTCGGAACTGTTTTACTTGAGTTAGTCTGTACCGTGTAAATCAGTCTATTATGTCTAGTCATACATCTGTAATGTTAAATGTAATATTAAAAAAAATAACACTTACTAAGAAGGTCAGAGTACACCCGACACCCGTGTGCGTTCCAGTTGCCCAGTCTTGAGCGCAGCGCTTTAAAAACTGTGACATACGCGCTTCAAGCGCTACAGATAACAGAAATTTTCGCTGTTCATCCTGAAAGAAAGGCAAAAAACTATAGAAAAGCTATTCTAAAAATTCGGAATTGTTCGGAAATGTCAAAAACTGTTCATTGTCATGCTTAAAAGTTGTATTTTATCAGTTTAATTATCAAAGTCATTAAAGACTAATAGTATACAAAAAGACAATTACCGTGGTCTATTTTGAGTATGAATTCAAATCATTTTATTGCTAGCAAAATATATGATCTCAAAAGCAATAAGTAATTCTTAAGATAAGCACACCTCTACAGTTGTTTATCTATATGAATTTTCTTACCACAGATGTATCAACATCCACCGACATGTCGCGATAGGCCGGCAGCAGACCGGCGGACATGCAAGAAGTGTACAAACGCCCCGGTGTCAGTAAACAGGACGGCCCCGAACTGGATATCGAGCTAATAATCTGCCGCTGAATTCCCATTGTGTGCAGAACTATAGCTTCAGATGTATTTAAGCAAACGCAGTCTGAAATGAGACAGGTTTTGTCAAATCCGGCTCGAAGTACCAAAAAACTATATCTTTATTATGTTCTTCTTAAGCTTTTTTTGTACGTAGTAACCACGATATAACACTCATTTAAAATGATTTATGTATTCATGCTAAATGGTTAAACATGTCGCCTAGCATTATGATAAGTGTGAGAGGTCCTAGGTTCGAATCCCGAGGAAACAGAAAATTGTTTACGTCGGGCAGGGCACAGAAGTCCAATCAACTACTTGCCTGTAAATAAAACCGATCAGTGAAACAAACACAGAAATGTGTTCGCCCCATGCCCCAAGAGAGGAAATGGGATTTCACACTACGTATGGTACAAAATGGTACATTAAGTGCATGAACACTTTATGTACCATTATGTAACTAACTGTTACTGATATGGAACGATACAAAAAGAGTTTCTGATTTAAAGTGATATGATTTTGAGGTTTTAAATTGCCTTAGACAAACCGTACCGTTTAATCTTGGAATATAGTAATATTCCATCCATCCATTCCATCTTACGTACTCGTAAGATGATTATTTAAAATTCCACAGAAAAAAAACATTTTCTATTATATAGTAAATAATACTTACTATATTGTAAGGAGTTGGGGTAAAAGTGTTCTTCCAGCCTTGTAGCGTGTGAATAGGGAGACAGTGAGCTTGGATCTAGCCTCAAATCCAATGTTAGACATCCTCTACCTAGTTCTGAACACCAGGCTGTACTCATAAAAGTGTTGCTTTGTAGTTGATAAGTTGCTGAAAACAATTATGTTATTTTAAAATCTTACGTTATTTAGTATGTAACCTTTTCTTAGTCAATAAAAGAAAATTATTTATTTATATATTCTTTGTTGCACAAAACATAAAAATATTACAAATTAAACTTATATACTAGAATGGAGAGCAATGGGCGGCCTTATCGCTAACAAGCGAACTCTTCCAGGCAACCTAAAGTTATGAAATGTTAAGAAAATGAGATGTGCAAGGTAGGCGAAATAAATTAATACTAACAGTTAATATTATAAACAAAAAAAAAACACAACCTAAAATAAAAACATATAGATCTAAATCTAACCTTACATGTTTACTAACATAAACGAAGGGACTAAATATATTTAAAACAAATAGATAGTGACTTTACTCAGGTGACAGACAGGAAATGTTTTTAAAGGAGCTGTTTAAGGGATGGGAGAGAAGGAGCCATGCGTAGGGAAAGGGGTAAGGTGTTCCGTAGTCTGATCGCAGTAATTCGAAAGGATTTAGTATATGAAAATAAATTTTAATAACTCAATCAAATTTAAAATCTCAATAATCATTTTTTCGTGAATCGGAGAATTAAGATAATATATTATGATCACAGATTATAAAGAGGGTTAAAAAATATATGTAAAGTTACCAAGGCATTGGAGCTATTTAACAGTCATTATCTATAAATTATCATTTATTTACTTAAAAATCAAATTTATTTATAGCAAAAAATAAATTCTAACTTACAAGGCATATGATCTTTGTACCACTGGTCTAGGTCAAATAACAGCATTCCGTAGTGTGATGATGAGGTTTGGTCACCCCAGCACTCCCATACTAGCTGGCATAAGTTTAACATAGCTGGAAAAAAAAAATCAATAAGCACTTTACACAAGTTTTTTAGTGTTTATATTTGATTGAAGAGGTTTCGTTAAAGGCGATAGGGTGATTAAACTGTGATTCAAACCCAAGAATTTCCGCTTAAAATATTAGGTGCGCGGTGAACAACTGAGCCATCCTACTTTTGTGCAAGTTAATCATGATGTTTTTCAGTGTTCAGAACTATTATAATATATGTTTTGATAACAACATAATTTAATGGTTGATCTTACTATCTTCTCCCTCTTCTCCCAACATAGTATTTATTGAGAAGGTGTGAGTGGATATACAGCGACCTCCTACCAAGTGAGCATGGTCCATGGACCCTAGCTCCACTTGGAAACGAACTGTTGCTGATGAGAATTCCTGAGAAAATATAGATAAACCTTAATTTTTATATTAATATCAAAAGTTTCCAGTGCTGATATATGTCATATTGGTAAATTATTGCTTGGAAGTTTTAAAAGCTGGTTTCTTATATATCCAAAAAAATAAATATTTGCACCATCACCAATTATAATTTTTTATCAATCTTCCTCGAGTATCAAATTAGGGAACTTTTATGTTAATAAAAAGCACAGAAAGTAACATATTATATTTCACTTATTATTATTATTTTCTATCGGGGGGGACACCTGTGGTAGGATGGGTGATCAGTCCACATTATCAGCTGACCATTTCACCCATTTCCCCATTTCCTCCTTGCAGGGGTTTTGGGTCATCCAACTCTCCCAGTGTCCCCTTCAAACCTTACGGTTTGCTTGCAGATTCTTATTATTTTTTCCATCTGTAGTTTTTCACTTACTTGATACAAACATTTATTATCCACGAGCATTCTCTTTCCTTGATATGTCAGAGAATACATGACAGCAAAAGGAAACTCGTGTTCTTCGAATCTTTCAGTCTCAGAAAAGACAACCCATAGATAACAAAAAGCTCTGGGATCATCACACGGTTCCTGAAAATTTTTTTTTTATGTTATTTAATTTTCATTAAAAAAAATTAATATATTTTAGTTATTATGCACTTAAACATGTTAAAATTATAATGATTTAAATGTGATCTAGAACTTTGTACCAAAACCAGAAGAATCCTATTTTTAGTTTGAGTAACTATAGAATATACACATATAATAATGGTTTTATAAGTATTTATGCTTTATCATGTACAATACAATAAAGAACAGGAAATCTTATGAACAAGAAAATTGCTCACAATGTCATATATAAAAATTTGCTTTCGTTGTTTTTAGGTTGTAGAATCAAAGCTGTATTGTCTTTTATTGTCGTTAATTTTACAAATACAAGTTACTACATAATTCTGTACATATTATTGTATGTTTGATGTTCGCTTCTTTAATTATTACATACTTAACATTACTGCCTTAAAAATCGAAAATAAATTGAAAAAATTTTCGACTCGGGCAGGACTTAAACCGGCATCGTCAGTGTTCCCTGCTGTTGCTCTACCAATTGAGCTACCGAGTCCTAAATTTTTAAATTATATGTGCCTTCATGCGCAATAACATGTATAAAATAATAAAGTCTTCAAACATTACTGCTTTTGTTCTTACCTGGAACCCAAAATGTGTAACCGGCAAGCACTCAACATTGACTTGAGAAGTGAACTCCAGCATTAAATCCAGAATATTCCACAGTTGAAAAGCACCAAAATTGTACCCCACAGCTAGACTTCCTAATTGAGGAATGTACTGAATAACCGTCACTCTGACATGGTCCCTTTTGGCTTTCATTCGGACTGTGCCATCTGGGTTGCGGAATATGTACTGATTGTCCAGAAAAGAGTCTTCATTTAACTGCACCACAAAATGCTCATCATTGTTAATTGGCAGTTCGCCTTGTATCTCATACTTGTGTAGTGCTTTTATTGAAATTTGCCTCAGACCAGCTGGATTCGATTCATTTCTTATTAGATGACTGTTTCCTTGTGCTATATCTTTTAGTGCTGAAATAAATATAAAAGTACTTGTGAAAGATGGCTCCTAAAATCTTTGAGTAATTGTTGGAGATACAAGACCTTAGCTGCTGTTGAATTTGATTCTATTATTGAAGAAGAGGAAATGAGTCAATTAAATAGATATATTATCTACAGGTAAGTAGATTAAATAACAAAATGTACCTTGTAACAGGGTGCTTCTATTAAAATCTATTACCAACACCTCTCCCTTCTGAGTGCCTGCCATCAAGAGGCCATCGAAGCAGGAAAAGGGGCCAATGTCTACATCATCACATAAGGCAAGCTTAGTAATTATGACATCAGTCTCTATACATCTTAAAAGTTGTGATCCATTAATGTGCAACACACAGATTAGTCCCCCATCATCAATTTCAAGACTTATGATAAGTTGTTGAGAGTTATTTGTGAGAGGCTGCGGTAGTTCTATTACATTTGTAACAGCCACATGGCTGAAAAAATAAAAGAAAAATTTGGGCCATAGTTACAAATACATGAAGATTAATAAAACAAATTAAAGGTTCCCCATTATATAGGTGTAGTTTGATATTGATAAGACAATTCACAATATAGTTTACATTCTAGGTTCAAAACACATGATGTCGAAAATTTACATGAGTTATTACTTAAATTTATTTCCTAGAAACAAATAAATATGTTTCCTAAGCCAAATCATTTCAAAAATAACTTAATATATACCTTATAATAATAACTGTTTATAATGTTACGAAGATAGATTAGAGAAATTGTTTATAAATATGTATAATTTAAAGGCAAACCTTGCTCCATTCCCAAATGTCTTTGCTGCAACTTTTAATCCACTCCTAAGGTCAATAACACAGAATTTTGGTCCCAATGCAAGCCAACCATATTTAGCATCACGTAGTATACCTCCTAAAGGTGTCTCTGTAAAGGATAATCATGAAACATATTATAGATATGTATTAAAATCACAAGGGTCTCATAAAATTCAACCTAATTAGAAACCGCGCAAACTATAACATTACATACCTACAAAATCCTCTGTTGGTTGTAAGAAACTAAAAACAGCCTGTGATAAACTTGTCGTTTTTAGGATAGAAAATACACTATCTTGCAGTTTGGGCATTTTCGCGTCCTAAATGTTGACACCGTTTTCTATTTAATTTATTAAATTCACTTTACTTGGAGGTTATAAGACATTATTATATATTATATGCTGAGGAACTAACTTCCGCATTGGTCTAAAAGGATAGAAAATCTTGAAGGAAGGTATTAACAATTTGTTCTTTCCGATTAGCAAATATTGGTCGGCAATCAAATTACTTTAATTAACGGATTTAAACTAAATGACACCGGTAGCGCATTCAAGTCAAATTATGTATTTTCAAACATTTGAAATGATGTCATCTGTCAATTCAACTGACAATATGATAAATAGTGGAAAATGTATCAAGCACAGATAATGTTTAGTATCACAGCTAATAGAATTATAGGACTGGGGCTTGTTTTCTTAATATTAAATCTCATGTCAGTAAAAATATTAAACTTTTCTTGTGAATTTTATATAAATACGAAATTTTTTAGCACGTTTTTACGTTTAACAGTATTTGATGAGGTCGTCTTTATTGGCATCATTATTCATTATGGCTGGTTAACATATTTTTTGTTACTGGGCAAACTACTGATTGCCTACTTACTGAGAAATGGCTATCAAAAATTTAATTGTACGTAAACTGGTTAATGTAAAGTATGTGCAGGTATTAAAATAAACTTCCAATTTCACAGCTTAAATAATCTTAATTACATAAATAAATACGGATAAAGTATTTCTATATCATGTAAAACAAAGTTAATATTACATGTTGAATTCGATATATCATTTAATTCATTAAATGGATAAAAAACTTATAATGTAATTGTTAAACAGAAAATATTTTCCGATATACCTAACTACCGTGTAAAAATAATAATATGGTTGATTAACTTATTTCATAGCGTTGAGCAATCACAGTTTCTTTCGATTTATTTTAGTAACAGAAACGTTGACAACGTTTTTGCTACCATCTTTTTCATGTGGATCAAATTTAATTTGACCCTGGACGATATTTAACATGGATGTGTACGGACTATCTGATACAAAATTACTTGATTGGCTATCTACTTTATTTATGACATCGTTTCGACTGTTGACGGTGTCATAAACTGATTTTTTCATGGAAATATATGGCTGACTATCTTTCGTAGTTCTTTTTTCTTCCGCATTGATGCCATTGTGTTTTGGACGACTTTTAGAATCAGACTTTCCGCCTTCAGTCTCTGACATCGTATCCTTCGTAGCGCTATCTAGAGATCCATTTCTTGTAACTTGTATGCTATTGGATCTAGACGAGTTTGCCAACGAGTGTAACGTCGAAGTACTCCCTTTCATATTTTCTAACTCCTTCGAGAAAACTTCTTCACTCTTCTGAAACCGTTGAGCGTGTGTAGAGAGCGGTATTTTATTTTGCTGCAAAGATATAGCGCTTAACGACCGACTTGGAGAATTAGTAGAGAGCCTATCAGGTTGCCTATTTTCCTTCGCCTTTGGGCTGGTGGCCTCTAAAGATCCATAAGCGCTGTCTTTTGTAGAGTTATGTGATGAATGGTCTTCCTTGACTCCATATCTTCTAACAACATTGACTGGTGCGACTGGTTCTATATTTTGGACGTCATAGGAAAGGGGATTCTTCTCTGTAACTCTTTTAACACCTTCTATAACTTCACCGGTTCTTGGGTTTATATGTTTTTCGGTGTCGTAACGTAACGTAACTCGGTGACTTTCGTCGATTGGGTGTGGTCGAGATCTTTCTTCTAGTTCTGCGTCACTGTCATCGTAAACACTGGGCTCGCATGTGCTCTCCTCCTGGAAAGATAATTAGCTATGATTTACTCAATTTACGTTAATTAATTTCTTATTCTTCAATAGCAATAAAGATATTTGCTTAGAATACAAACTATTACGATCCAAATATACCTCTTCGTCCACTTCTTCTATAACGCTATTTTGAATCCATTCACGTATTCTTTCCTTCTTCGCTTGTCTGTCAACCGTAGTCTCTATACCGTTATCTCTGAAGTGTTTCAACAGAATATTCTTTTCGTTGGGGTCACTTCGAAAACTGTACATGGACGGACAGAGTTCATCTATATCTCCGCCAGCTGTAAAGTGATTTAATTTTAGAGCATGCAATGAAGTGTTCTGACAGAACTGTCCACCACCATGAGTGGATAGCACTTAAACTGATCGATTATCTATAAGGAATCGTGGGTAATGCTAATAATAAAAGGTTCGTAGATTCGATTACCACCAGGGTCCAACATGTATCTAATCAGTTTATTATTTTTCTGAGACTTGTTGGACTTCGTCTGGAAATCTGAATAATAAATGTGTGGTAGGAATATCGAAATTCGTTTCGGGTAACGAATCACCGTCCATAGATGAAAAAACCGTAAAGTTTAATCGCGTTTCGGTTTCAGTCTGTGGATTACCGAATATCCAAAGCGAAAATAGGGCAGCAGTGCATCTTGTGAAGATGCTATAAGCTGGGATATTTCATCTACCATCATGTGCTAGTCTGTCCTCTTCTATCATAAAAAATATCTTAAATATATTTACCAACTCTATCCGTATATCCTTTAGCCATCCATCGATAGTCATAATACCTAATCAATTCAGTAAAATTAACCGCCCTTCTATCTGTCCTTGGTTCAATGTATTTCTTGAACATCTTCTGCGCCCTTGATGATACCATTTTCCATAACTTTGGCTGTCTTTTGAGCGGATTTGCGCTGCTGTACCAGTTGAAGTAACTGTAATAGAAGAGTGGGTATACATAAAAACATCGTTATCTATCAATATCTATACTAATATATAAAGCTGAAGAGTTTGTTTGTTACGTTGAACTAGGGTTTGAATTGAAAAAATAATTTTGTGTTTCTTAGAGCATTTATCGAGGAAGGCTATAAAACATTGCCATGGCAGTAATACAAGCGAAGATACAACAAGAAATGTGAAAAAAGTGGGAAAATTATTCATCACTAGCGGTGTTAGCGACTTCGTCCGCCAAAATCGCGTCCTTTCCCGTCGATCTTGCAAGTTAAGTACGCAACCGACGTCGTGGGTAACAGCTTAAGCTTATGAAGATGAAGGGGTTTGCAAAAACGAATTTGGATGCCCAAAATAACGATTCTGGCGGACGAAGTCGCTTACACAGCTAGTTTATGATATAACAACGATTAATTTTAACAATTCATTACACCTGTCAGGTGCAGATGTTATCTAGGTAGCTGTAAGATAATAAACACAGCTTCCCGTCCCAGTTCGCGTAATAGCTCAGTTATAAATAGTAACAGGAGAGAAATGTTTCTCTAGTACTATAGAACTGTACAGGTTCATGTTATAAGCAAAAAACTCGTGATATTGTACGAAATGTTTAGGGTATAGCATGTTAAATCTGCTGTCATATCCTGTTGTCAAGTAATTATATTTTATTGGGATCGAAATCGTAAGTTCTCGCGCCAAATTATAACAACGCGTTTTACAATTACCCATTAAATTCGTATTATAGACCAGCTCTGTCAGCGACTTCGTCCGCGAGAATCGTTATTTTGGTCATGCGAATTCGTTTTTGCAAACCCTTTAAATAAACTTAGCTGTTACCCACGACGTCGGTCGCATGCCTTCCCGTCATTCTTGCAAGTTAATCTTAAAGGATGGACATATAGCGTCGAGGACTTTTTTTAGATCATTTAAAGAGGAATCATTCTTTCGTTAATATTTTTTGGGTATCTTGAGCCGTTTTTGCAGCGTACGCCTCGGAAAGCCATAATTATGAATAATTTCCTATTTTTTGTATTAGTCACTGGGCGATGTTGCATAGCCTTCCTTGATAAATGTTCTTACCGTCACAAAAATAATTTTTCAATTCAAAGCCGCAGCTCCTGAGAGTAGCGCGTTCAAACAGACAAACTCTTTAGCTTTATATATTAGTATAGATTACATAAACATAGAATTTGCATATGTATGGATTGCGTATTTTATATCTTACACATTTAGTGTAGTCAGCCGGAAACAGCAAACGCCTGCAAATGCCTGATCAGGCAGGATGTAGTAACATACTTTTCTTACCTTAAGTATCTGGGATCGTCATATGCAGCTTTTTGCCACGGCAAGCATCCCGTCAAACAAATGAAAATCACAATTCCGAACTGCCATATATCGTGGCTAATTAATGCCCTGAAATAATATCTAATTAGAGTAAGAAGTGGAAAACTGGTTATTTTAATGATTCCTAACAATAATTTAATAAATCAAGCGGGATTCGAACCCAGCAAAAGATATTCTATGAGTGGCAGTAGTGAATTTTATTTTTAATATAAAACTTATCATTACTTTTTAATTTTCCAAAGTCAATTCAAAATAAATTGAGGTCCAAAATAGACCTTAATGTAGACAACATTAAGGTCTATTTTGGACCTTGGAACAATGAGCCATAAGCTATTATTGTTTATAAAAGTTTAGCTTAGTTTTATTACAAAGAAGTAATTATAGGTCGAATAAAACCTCACTTATATGAGCTATCCACAGACAGACTCAAAACTTCAGGCGGCGAGTACGGTAGCCATTCATTCCTTCTTCTAACAACTGAATTAACTTTTCTCGTCTCACCGAAATCACATAGCTTAATTCTAGAAAAGTCCGATTTGAATATCAGTATATTGTCTAGTTTGACATCGCGGTGAACTAAATCCCTTTGATGGAGATGCTCCAGCGCAGCTGCAAGTTGCTTTGTCACTCTCTTCGTGTGGATTTCTCCAATACCGGTGTCGAGCATGTTCGAAGTAAGATCACCTGAAATTTAATTAATAGTTAAATACATATTTTATGTACATGGTAAATAGATTATTACAGATGCTGCCCCAGCTGTATAACTTCGCAACAAGATGAGCTGGAGACCCATTTTGGTTTTGAACATTAAGAAATGCCCTGATTAGAACCGAAATGTGTGTTAATCATTTATTCTGATAGGTATAAACTACCGATAACTTGAATGTTTTATAAAGAAAAATCTAGACGTATGTTAGCTATACTCAGTTAAAGGCACCGACGCACTTAATATTTTGGCGATAGAAACCTTCAGTCGAGGTCAGGAAACCTCTTTTGTATATGTTCCACTAGCTGTGCCAGCGACTTCGTTCGTGAGAATCGTTATTTTGGGCATCCAAATTACTTTTTGGTAACCCCGTCATCTTAATAAACTTAAACTGTCAGCCACGACGTCGACCGCGTCCCTTCCCGTTGTTCTCGCAAATTAATCTTAAAAGATAGACATATAGCGTCGCGAACTTTTTTTTAGATCATTCAAAGAGCAATCATTCTTTCATACACATTATTTAGGTATCTTGAAACCGTTTTCGCAGCTTACGCATCTGAAACCCACAGAGATAAAAATTTCCCCCGTTTTGTTCACTTTTCACGCTGTATCTTCGCTTCTACAAGTCACAGCGCGATGTTTTATAGCCTATAGCCTTCCTCGATCTAAGTTATCGTAAATACCGTCTGTAGTTTAAGAGAGTGGTACTATTTATATAAAACACATTAAACTGTTTAAAACATCCAAAACGCCGGGCCATAGTTAAAATAAATAGTAAATAATTTTACCTAACACGTTTCGCGTTTGTAACAATTGAAAGTGTTTTATTTAAAGGTCCTTACACCAAAATTCATTATTTAGGATTCGACAAATGACTTTGTACATTTGTAAACATTTTATTTTCAATTACAAATCATCAATCACGGCTTCCAATAGCTAAAACCGACTATTAGACTTAATGCTCATTCAAACTGTGTCTGGCTTTGCTCCAAGTCGGCGAACGTAATAAAGAACACATGGTTCTTTAAATTTCAGTCGTATTGTCTTGCATTCAGGGCAACAAAGATGATTTGTAATGTGTAACTTGAATAACATAAGTTTAATACGAAATATATATATATATATAGAGTGATAGAGTGATATACTTATTTGAAAACTATTTTATCCTCGGCCAGACCATATCTCCCCGTGACCACGGCTGCTGCAAAGCAGTCAGAAACCATGAGCCTTAGTTAAAATAATTCTCAAAAAAGTTTAACTAATATATTTTGCGTTTTAAACCGTTAGAGTGTTTTTTAAATATGTTAATTTTTTTATGTATTCGACATGTTTAAACGAAATACATAAATCGAAATAGTGTGGGTCTACTTGGTTAAGTAAGATGCTTAAATAGTTTTAAAAACATGTTTTGATTTTGCGTTCAGAAATCTCAATGTGTAAAATGACTTGCTACGTCACCGAGGTTTGTTCTAAACAAATTATTAAAACATAACCAAAGATCGTAGACTACCAACGACGTCAGATAACTTATGTTGTCTTTGCTCATTTTTATTTTAAATACTTTTCCTTATATACTTAGCAATACAAGTATTTTTTATCATATATTAGAGACTTATTTCTGCTTACAAGTTTTTTTTGTATGTATAAAAGGCATTGATTTCTTACCTAGTGGAGCATATTCCTGACAAAACACATAAAACCCGGCGGTTTCAAAGGCTACATCGAAAGTTGTGACGATGTTTCTGTGTGCGCTTAGATGTAAGCTGTAATGGAACTCTCTGTAAAAGTCTCGTATCGAGACATACGGCTTCGGTAAAGCCTTCAAAACAATCTCCGTATCCGAAGCCCTGTGCTCCACTAGAAGTATTTTCCCGAACCATCCTTCGCCGACTATTTGTAAAATGTCAAACTCTTCTACTAGACACACCTGAAAGTAAAGGACGAAAATATTTTAAACGTAGGTATATGATTTACTATCTATGCCAGCGAATTCGTCTGCGTAGAATAGAATTTGGGCATCAAACTTTGTTTTGCAAACCTTAACTTTATAAATTATAACTGTTAAAGGAATAAGAATTAATTCGAACCCGTTGTTCCTGAGATTAGCGCGTTAAAACAAACTTTATAATGTTATTACAGATATTATGCTAACAGTTTCGCTTATTTTTTAGGAAATTAAAGAAAGTACTGTCTATAGTTTACGCGAGTAGTACACATTTAAATAAAACACTTTAACGGATTAAAACGCGATATATTAGTCAAACTTATTTAAAATTATTTCGAAACGTCGGGCCGAAGTTAAAAATCATTTTCAAATAAGTTTAACTAATATATCGCGTTTTTAAGCGTTTAAGTGTTTTATTTAAATTAAAGAAAAAATTTTCAAGTGCGATCTTTGTTTGGAACCATATTAAGTGAATTAATAGTTTAGTTACATAATGTAGTTTATTATATATGCTGTGTATGCAACCGCTGCAACCGATATTTTAGCAGGTTTTAAACCGTTGAATCTATTATATTAAAAATATAAAACTTCTTACTTTTTCTAATTCAAATTCGCGAATTTTGTGTATGGAGCCTGTTAAGGCCCGTCTCGTTCCATCATTCATATTTCCTTATATAACTGGCCCATGTCCATTTTCTTACTGAAAAAAAAAGTTTCACATTTCTTACTCCTCAAACAGTTCAGAGAAGCGAACTGAAGTCATTAGTAAAACTTTTAATAAGTGTTGACAATTTTTTATTTATTCCTATCAACTAAAAATAATATAAACTAAATTCCCCATTAAGAGTTCTTTATAATATTAAACTCAGTTCGATTCTCATCGGGTCCAACATATTTCTAATTATGAAATGCATGACACGTTGAACTCGATCCGAAAGTCGGGACTTTTAATGGTATGAAGGAATATCGAATTTGCTTCTGGGTCTTGAGCCTCCACCACTAGTGGTCAGTGGCTTGAAATAGCACTCAACAAAAAAGCCTTAATTTTTGTACAAAACCGTGTTTTAGTATAAGTCTATAGATTTCTGAATATCCAAAGACAAATATAGACCAGACCAAAATAATCAGCGCATTTTAATTTACTGTTATAGGCCTGGGGTTTACAATATCTGTCTGTTCTTCACAATCATAAAAAATATTAATATAACAAACGGCATCATAATTTTAAAGGATGCAAAGCCCTATTTCACGTAGCGGGTTGATTGAATAGTCTTGGCAGTGTGCCAAATATGGCGTCTACTTCAGACTCCAGACTTCTGACGTCACGCCGTGGACACGTCATCGGATAGACGAAAAATTGACCGGATGATGCATACAATGGCGTGTTGGAAAATATTCTTGACATAGTGGTTTCATAAATATAAAGATTTGATAAATTGTCGTTGAATTTTGTTGGCTTAAATATGACGATCGTTCTAATGATGTTGATTCTTACATATGCCACAAATAGCATAGTTTTTCCTTTAAGGTAGTTATGTTTATGCTCTGTTATTTTAAATGTTGATGTTATTTATTCAAGCTACCATTGATGGTGTGAAATAACTACGCAAACTTTTAACCAAGACATTCATCAAAACGTGTAGAATAGTTTAGTATTAATAACAAACGTTATATTATCTTTCCTCTTTTTGTTTACTTTAGTATCAGAAGAATTCACCTTTTATACCGCTAGTAACAAAAGCCTTATAAAACTTATTAGGTATTCAGACCTGTCCAGTACCTAGGATTTGATGCCATAAGAATTAATAAAGATAAGATCGGTATTGAATTGAGAAATGTATTTTATCTTCTTATAGATACCTTTTTTCAATATGTTTCTGTCCTTGAGATAAGGATTTAAAAAAATACTTGACTATTCTAATAAGTAAAGTTTTCATTCTTATACAAGTTTATATATTACGAACTGACTCCAAGATTAATGTACCAGCTGTTAGATAATATTAGACTCATAATATTATATTGACGTCATCTAGGTATTTCAATATTAATGTAAGAAAAATAATAAAGGATTTACAAAACAATTTTGTATTAAAACCACAGTTAGTGGCATTATCTCTTAACAATATTAAGGTGAATAATATTGAAACATATTATATTATGGTTTTCTTAATGTCATTAATATGACAATAAGAAAAACTGGGCTAAATCTCTATTTACCGTGAGATCGGTTTTACAATACTCAGTCCTCTGACTGAGTATTGTAAAACCGATCTCACGCGCCTAATTAAAAACTTCAGTAATTCAAATTTATTATTCACTAAAAACACTTTATAATTACGAGAAAAATGTTGAATCTTTCATCCCTTAAGTATATTTACACGAAACTTTGTGCACTTCAATTGGGTATTGGGCGATATGTGTATACTTAAAGGGTAGAGATTGTATATGACCTACCCACAGATAAGGATTAGGAAAAAACTATCACTGCACTCCACTTAATTATCACATAATCTCACTTCACAAAATAAAATTTGGTGTAGCTTTTCTAGGTCAAAGCAGCGACGTTTGAGCAGCGCACGTCGCAACTGGCAGCGTGCGCGCAACGACACCCGGCCAGTTATTTTGGTGCTAGTATACATACAAAAAATATTTTACAACCAAAATGCTACGAACAACGACCTGTTATTTATTCGCATTTCCTTTTCTCTACATCACTCTGAGATCAGACTTGTCAACTCGAATTTTACATTAATTAAGCACGAAGAAAATTACAAATATTTATTCAGATAGGTATGTACAATTTATTTTTTTAACAAGGCTGTAGTTTAGTTGTAAAGTATGAGCCAGCGGTCGTGCATTCGATTACCGGGTAAATACCATTTTGTTTTGGTCGGGTAAAACTCTGAAATCTGGTCCAACCTCTTCGCTTCATATAACACTAGCTGTGTTAGCGACTTCATCCGCGAAGTTTGCAAAAATAATTTTGGGCATCCAAATTTATTTTTGCAAACCTTCTGTTTATCTTTATAAACTTAAACTGTTACCCACAACATTGGTCGAGTCCCTCGAAGTTAATGTAAAAAAAATAGACCTAAAGCAACAGGGACAATAAGAGCGAGGTGCGCGGGACGTAGATCGAGGCGAGAGATTGGTTTATTGTCAACACAATCGACCGTTTATTCTATTAAATTTCGTAATCGATTTTTATCGTATTTGATTATGAATTTTTAATCGTATGGGATATTGTAGTAAATGGATTTAAGAGCACAGTGGATGGTGTTTTCAATAAATGATACCATGATTACTTTTAAAGAAAAATAAAATCATTAAACCTCAAAACCAAATCCTGCTTTTCTTTACTATTTTTACCTTCTTTAAAGCTTTTTATATAAATATATTTCTACGATCCAATTTTGTCTATTTCAATAGGAATCGATTAAACGACTCTCTCAATCTCAAGTATGGACATCTCTATTGGGTTATTTTTTAAAGCTTCGTACGTATTCGGTAATGTTCACTATTATTTCTTCTTTGCTATATTTTTGTTTTGTCTTAGTATTTTAGTGATAGATCACTTTGAATCAATTATTAGTTACTTTTGCTTGCTATATGTAAAAATGGCAGTATTAGTTTTCTTTAGGAGTGTACATGCGCCAAAGTTCGTCTAACCTATGTTCAGACTTGCCAAGTTACGTCCGCCGTATTATAATTGTCAATTATCAAACAAGACGTTAATGACAGTAAGTAGTTAAGTCAATGCAACCATAGTGATATTTTACATAAAATTAAATTTTTGTTTTGTTTTGTTTGTGTTATCATATTAGTTGAACCCAAATTACAGTCGAAAACGACTGAATAGTTTAAAAAGCTTCATGTAAAATTAACGGGAATATTGTAACTACAGAGAATTGGTAAGTCTATGACAGAGGTTTACTTTACTGAGGAATATTTTTAACATCTAAAAGTTGCGTATAAGTTTAATAACTACACTTAAATGTGTAACTTAAAAACTAATTGTATAAGAGAAAAAAATAATTAAGCTTATAAACTAATATGAACGACGATAAGAATTTGTTATCACTTCGTTAAATAGTATTTAAAAGTTATATTCTCAATTACATAATGCACACAGCTTTTATAAACTACGAACAGAAATATTGGAGTATGTGTATACTTAAAACAATATAAGTGATGTTACATAAAAACTTGATTGTAACTTTACTTTGAAAAATATAAGATAATTGTGTCTTATTTTATAAATAATATAACAAATAAATATTAGATGACTGACATCTCCTCTTCAAATTTATTTATTATAACTTGTATTGTCATTTTTAAAAGAATTTAATTGAAGATATTTATTTATAATTTTTTGATAATATTAGATCAAAGGTATAAATTGGGCCAGTCCAAAGATTTAAATATTTTGATTTATTTAGCTTCAAGCTTCTATTGTAAATAAAATAAATTTATCTTGATGGGACAAAAAAAAGTATTACAGTTAATGATGCATTTCTCTGCCTTTCTCTTATTTATTTAAGAGACTATATTAACTTAAAACTAATAAGAGCTTATGCAAAATACTGATTCATATTTGTAAAGGTTTTTGAAGTTTTTGTATTACCAAAACCATTTTAGCCAAAGATAGTGTCACATAAGATTACCTAACCTTATATATATCTTTTATATTTTTAGTGATGTGGGAGTCTTTTGTAATATAGGATGTAGTCTTTAATGTCTAACGGCACAAAATATTAAGTGAGTAGAGGGTACCTTTATGAGATCAATGATTGTTCACTTTGCATTGCTAAATAAATTATCATCCATTTGCCATTCAAAGTGTCAAGGTACAGTCATTGAAAAAAGCTTATAAGAAACCTTAAGATTTTCATTATTGTTACCAAATACTTTTGTTATACAGTATCTAAGTTAAGTTATCTGAAGGTAGAACTTTTGTTTCTGCACTTTACGCATATATTATATTTTAATGATTGAGTCTTAGTACGGACAAATCCTTTATTGAATGCCATATAAACCAGAATAAAAAACTCACATTTTACAGACTTGGTATTATGTTAATCAAAGAGATAAAGTTTAATATTGCTATGCTTCTATAAATAATGATATTATTTGAATTTGTATGATGAACTCTAAACCTTTTTGTGTTTGACTGTAACAATGATAAATTCCTTTACAGTGCAATTACCAGAACAATCATCTTGAACTGTCTAACGTGTGGTAAATAATTGACAGCATAATACATTTGAGTGTGACTAGATTTTTTTATGATTAACGGTAACTAAATTATAATACAATTTAATTCAATCTTTGTTATTGAGAACTCTAAATTAAAGTAATTCTTTCTCAAAAGTAACAAATACATATGTTCGTTAAAGAAATATAAGAGTTGTCTCAAGCGACTCCAGTCTAATCTTGGCCTGCTGCTTCTTGGACATTACCTTATTCAATTGAATTAATTCTTATACATTGTTAATTTATAATTTATTATATTTTATTTCGTTGCACAAAATGTTATTGGTTCAATATAGCATTGAAATTTAGCAGCGATACTTTGTAATAACACTTTATATTTTGTAGACTCTTATTTGTTTGTATATGAATTAATTCCACGGCTTGATTCTTAGCTGTCAGCTTAGATACTAT